GTCAAACGCTTTTAGCCATTGTCGCAGATTCGCACCCATTAGCCTGGAGTAGTAGTCGAGGCGGAGCGCATGCGGCCTGTGACGAGAGAGGCGGCGGAGGCGCGAGCAGGAGAGAGCGATATTGCGGCGATCGGATGGGTGATCGGCGAAGCCGAGAATGATCTGAAGGAGCTCGTCGGGGAGAGATAGCAACCTGCTGTTGCCGGCGCGATCGCTTCTTTTCGCCATCGCGAACTGGTCGATTACTTAGCTAATTGCCTCCTGTGACCTCAAAATACTCCACGTGATAGCATCTGCAACCTCGTAAGCTTTCTTACAAAAACGTGTAAGAAGATAAAAATGTCGAGGCACGTGGGACCTCGAGCTCCGCGATCAGCTGACCTGTGAGGCCGACAACGATGCGCACGAGCTCGTCGGGTTGAGCGAGGAAACGCGAGTAGCTAAAGTGAAAATATGTGATGGCAATGGTGAACAGAAAAATGACCGTTGACTCGAGCGAGGATGGATGCGCGAGTGTGTGCGATGACGGAATGCCTGAAACTGGATGCAGGTGAGAACATAAGAACATAAGAGACGTCCCCTAACGCGTACGTCCAAAGGTCGTATTTCTACGAAGTTTGCTTACAGCCACAGCCGAACATTCACAAAGTTCATTGAATTGATACATGATACACATTACACAAAATGGAAAAACTAGGCCCTAGTAAACCCTTTCACCAAGTGCTCCCAGAAATACGTCCCCTGCCTAGGACGTCTACAAGCACATGTCTACCAAATATGGCAAATCCACCCATGCATCACCACTTATCTCCAAGCAGCATCTCAGACACACCTCACAACTACACCAGCCCGAAGCAACTCTCTCCTAGCCCTTCCCGAAACCTTCCCGGCTTCCACCTTCAAGTACCGCAACCTGGGTAAGCTTCCAAGAACCTCTCCAATGCCTGCTGCAGTAATCTTAGGACACCCTAGCACAATCAAACTAGTGAGCATACTCAGTCTACTTCCTGCAACCACTGCATCCGAGAACTTGTCGTTTTGCTGCACCTTTAGCTCCTCCAATTTAACACAAGCAGTGAGCAGTTTCAGCCATTCCTGCTCCTCCAACCCTAGGCAGCACACCAAGGAGAGCCGCTTCAGCTGTCCAAAAACAGCCGCTCGGGCAATGGAATGGAAGGACATAGCCTGAATGCTTGGGCTTCGGGCAGCTGAGCCAGAGGAAGAGGAGAGGCAAGAGGAGGTGGAGGAGGACGATGTGTGGAAAGAGGAAGGCGGGGGGGAGGAGATATACATGAGAGGAGGCGCAGACGGAAGGGTCGGAGCCAGCCAGGTGCGGGGAGTGGTAGAGAAGTAGAGCACGTCGAGGGTTAACGATTCCAGGCGAGGACAGAACACTTGCACAGGGATTGCTGACTGGCACCCTTCAGAAAGTTTGCACGCTGACTTGCGGATGCCTACCTGCTTTCCATCCCCTCGTGCTGCCTCCCTAAATCCTGCCTGCCCTGCTGCCGACTCCCCTGCTGCCCCCTCCCCTGCCGCCGTAGCCCCTCCTCCCACCCCGTGCCCTGTTATTCTTCCCTCCCCAGCTATTGTCCCTCCATGCGCTGCTGTTGCTGCTCCATCTACTCCTGCCGGTGCTCCTGCTGCTGCTGCTGCTGCATCTCCCACTGGTGCTGCGGCATCTGGTGGCGCCAGCGTGGCTCTCAGAGCTCTGTTGAGTTGGCGCAACGACTGGAAGCTAGCGTTCATGGCAGCAAACTGCTCGTCCAAATCCTCCAGAAGCTCCCGCTGCCTCCCCAACCCCTCTTCACGTGACTCTATCTCATTAGACCACACCCCACCCAGCACACCCTCAGGCAGGCCATCATCAGGCAGCATGCCATCCATGCCCCTGATGTCATCTCCTTCTTCCGCCTCCCCATCCCCATCCTCTTCTCCACCATTCATCCCTGTAGCAAAGAACCCTGCCGCCTGCCCAGAATCAGCATCTGTATTAAAATCAGTAGCAGCAGCAGCATCTGTACTGGAATCAGCACCAGCGAATGCGCTCTTCAGCTTCTCCTCCCACTCGACAGCCGCATCGGACGCACGGATAGCAGCAGAGAAGGATCGGCACGCCGAGATCCCGAACCTGATCTTCCCGAGGCTGGCGGCAACCCGAGGCACGGCGTCTTCGCCCACCGCTCGCGCCGCCCAGAGCGCATCGTAACGGGCAGCCTTTGTGGCTTCGTCGGCTTCTTTGAAAAGGTCGATGACAGTACCGGCTGATGCGATTTTGTCTGCCTGAGCCGCCGCTGCCTCTGTGCAAAAATCCACGTAATTTTTGCAGCGTTTGCTGCTCCCCCTACCTGCCACTGCCCTCGCTGCTACCCGTGCCGCTGCAGCAGCTGCTGGTATAGAAACACCTGCAGTTCCCTCCTCCCATCCTTCTGCTCCACCCTCCCCTCCAGCCTCCCCTCCTGCCCGCCCTCCCGCACGCCCCATCTCTTCCACCCGCACCAGCATACCCACAAGGCAGTCCAGAGAGACATTGTTTGGCAGCAGGCAATCTTCAGACGCAATCACCCCTTCCACACCCAGCGACCGCAGGCGCGTGCAGGCTGCAAGCAAGCCCGGGCGGAAGGATGGGAGGCCGGCGAGGTGGAGGGAGCGGAGCTGGGAGGAGGAGTGTGCGAGCAGGGAACGGAGGCCTTGTGCGGCGAAGAAACGGTAGGTGGTGCCGTGGAGGGAGAGGGAGGTGAGAGCGGGGTTGGCTTGAAGAATGGGGGCGAGGGAGTGGGTGGAGTTGAGTGGGGACGAGTGGATGGTGAGGTGGGTGAGGCAGTGGAGAGAGCGCGAGAGAGAGTGAAGCTCGTATGGGTCGATGGTGCAGGAGCGGAGGGAGAGGGACGCGAGGGAGGGGAAGAAGGCGAGGGATGCGAGGGAGGCCTTAACTTTGGCGGAGTGGATGTTGAGAGATGTGAGCGACGTGCGGAGAGAGGATGGGGGGAAGGACATAAGGTGGGGGGAGGAAGCACGGGAGGAGGAGGATGAGGAGACAAGAGAGGAGGAGGAGGAGGAGGAGGAGGAGGAGGAGGAGGAGGAGGAGGAGGAGGAGGAGGAGGAGGAGGAGGAGGAGAAGGCAAGGGAGGAAAGAGTGGATGATTCAGGGCTCCAGAGGGTGAGGGAGGTGAGGGAGGAGCAGCGAGTAACGGGGAGTAAGTCCGAGGGAACGTAGAGGATAGAGAGGGACTGCAGTGAGGGGAGGAGGTGCACGGGAGGGAGTGGCGGCTGTCGCATGTAGGAGAGACGCGAGCGCGCATATTCACAGTCTAGCTCCAAAGAAGACAAGAGCCTGAACCACGGGGGAAGGGCGGAGGGGCGAGGGGAGGGGAATGGGGGGAAGGAAGAGGAAAGAGAGGACTTGCAAGTATTTACTCGCAGGAAGGGCGGAGAGGCGAAGGGAGAGGTGAGAATTGGGAGGGGTGAAGAGGGTGGAAAGGCGGCTGGATGCAAAAGGCTTCTGGTTGAGGATTGAGAGAAGAGATCGCCGATACACGGGAGGTTGAGACAAGTGGATGGATGGATGGATGGATGGGTAATGGATGGATTGGACGAAAGGTTACAAGGGCGAGAAAAGGCACGGAAACGCCAACTCACGGGCATTGCTTCGCAAGAGTTCGCCACGCTCGACCGTTGACGTTAAAGCCAACCCAATCTGACACCAACTTCAGTTTTTCCAGTTTTGGGCAGCCCGCTGCAATCGCCGGCATCACCTGATTTCCCAAACCACTGGTGAGCTTCACGGTCAGATCTGTAACGTGGGTAAATACCCTTGAAAACTCGTCGAACTTTTTCAACCACGCTCTCGGAGTCGCAGCCCTTGGCCTGGAGTAGAACTCGAATCGGAGCGCGTGTTCCGCGCGACGAGAGAGGCAGCGGAGGCGGGAGCAAGAGAGCGCCACGCTGCAGCGATCGAAGGGATTGTTTAAGAGGTTGAGAATGATTTGGAGGAGCTCGTCGGGGAGAGATAGCAGCCTGCTGTTGCCGGCGCGGCCGCTGCTTTTCGCCATCGCGAGCTGACCGTTTGAATGGCTAAATGCCTCTTGTAATCTCAACTTACTCTACGTGGTAACCCTTGTTAGTAGCACGTGTAATTTTTAAAGGAGATTACTTTGAAACACGTGTCACCTAGAATGCATGGGTAAGCTATTCGTGAGACACAGAAGGATACCAGAAACTCGTCAGGCGAGAGAGGAGAGTCGAGAGAAGCTGAAGAATCAATCTATTGTGAGGTGACGGACTTCATAACAATGACAAGGTGCTTCTGCGATGGGTCTGGGAGGTCGACAAAATATTACCGTTGTCAGGATGGGAGCGATGATGTGTTTGTGATGTGATGTGAGTGGTGAGGTGACTAGTGTCGATGCTAAAGACGTAGCATATACAAACGAAAGTGATACTACTGAGGAAAAGGCGGGAAAGCTAGGACGTGCTCTGGTTGGGTGGAACTGGAGCGCGTACCAACCGAACCCAACTGAACCGAGAAGTCTTTGAACCGAGACCAAACGAAACCAATCACGCGACGAGACACCACGTTAGAGCACGAAATGCAAAACAGAATTAATTAACCTGTCTGTGACGCAAGGTACCCGTCTGCAAACCTTACCGCCAGATTTCACCTTTCAACGACAAAAGGTACTGTACCCATCCCATCCCAGTAACCCCACCAACCACTCCCAAGCAATTTTCCATCGGAAATCCCGTCCCGCCACCATGAGATTTTTCAGCGATCGGCTGCGATCAGTCGGCGACAGCGACTCTGTCGTACAGTCAAAGCAGGCCTGAAACGAAAATCGGGTTGGCGTCGCCGCGTCGCAACGCAAATCTGGTGTCAGCAAGCCCAGGAGCAGTTTCACCCTATACCTTTGACATTCCGAACTGAATAATTAAGTAGACAGCATGTCGTGATTGTAGGTGGCTTTTTTCACGATTCTCTGAAATTTCAACAGTTTCCAGCCATGGATCGGGGAGCTACTCGATACCAGAGTGGCCTGAATCGACCACTGGGTACTCCTCCAAGCTCCTCCGGCAATCCCTATGGACCGTCCGGCTATTCCCAGGGATTTGCAGCAGGCTCCGCTGGTCCGCACTACAGCAACGTCGGGAGGGTTGAGGGAGGCGGGTTGGGAGGTGCAAACCCTAGCATGGCTGCACCCGTGTCCCCGTTCCAGAGTGCGTACGGCCAGCAGCAGCAGCAGGCACAGCAGGTGCAGCAGCAGCAGCAGCAGCAGCAGCAGCAGGAGTCGAACCAGCTAAGGTACCAATACTTGAACCAGCAGCAATTGCAACAGAGCCAGCAGCAGGAGCACCAACGGCAGTACCAACAACAGCAACAGCAACAGCAGCAACAGCAACAGCAGCAGGAGCACCTTCAGCAGCAGCAGCAGCAGCAGCAGCAGCAGCAGCAGCAGCAGCAGCAGCAGCAGCAGCAGCAGCAGCAGCAGCAGCAGCAGCAGCAGCAGCAGCAGCAGCAGCAGCAGCAGCAGCAAAAGCAGCAGCAGGTTGGGTCCGGAGCTGTGGCGATGCAGGACGCCAACGCCTTGTGGGAGCGGATTGAAGGGCTGGAGGTAAGACCGCTCACCTCATTCCTTCTCAGGCACTGCTGCAGGCTTGGCAAAAGCACAGTGACCAGACGTTCTGGTCTGGATAATGATGTATTTCAGAAGAAGTTTTCTCCGTCTCTCGGCTGTCTGTGTGGCTCCAGGCGGACCTGCGCAGTGCACGGCTGGAGGTAGCGAGAACAGTGGCCAGCGCTCTACAAGCATCGCTGCATGTTAGCCTGGTTTCCCCCATTCCAATCTCTCCGTCTCTCCCTCTCTCTGGCTGTGCGTCTCCAGGCGGATCTGCGCAGTGCACGGCTGGAGGCAGCGAGGGCGAGAGCTGCTCTGGAGGCGCAGGAGCACAGATGCGCTGGACTGATGGAGGATGTGAGTGGTGCTGGTAACGTGGTAACAGAGGTGACTTGTAAGTTTGACTTTAAAAGGCGAGCGCTGCTCTGGAAGCTCAGGAGCACAGATGTGCTGGACTGATGGAGGATGTGATGTGAGTGGTGCTGGTAACGTGGTAACAGAGGTGACTTGTAAGTTTGACTTTAAAAGGCGAGCGCTGCTCTGGAAGCTCAGGAGCACAGATGTGCTGGACTGATGGAGGATGTGATGTGAGTGGTGCTGGTAACGTGGTGATGTATCTCTGATCGCGGGAGTAACGTATGTGCTGGTTTCGTGGTATGGTAACATGTATTTGATCTCTGGAGTAACGTATGTGCTGGTTTCGTGGTATGGTAACATATCTTTGATCGCTGGAGTAACATATCTCTTTGAATTAAGTGATCAGGCAACCAGCCAGGTCTGATTCATTTGTTTATTTGCATGAAGATAATGGCCAGTGTCCATTCTCTTTGAGCGACTATTCCTCTACTTGTCGTACAGCCTCTTTGTCACCATCTTCCCATGCACACTCCCCTCCCCTCTCATTCCCGCTCTTCTCCCGTCTCTCCCCTCCCCTCTCATTCCCGCTCTTCTCCCGTCTCTCCCCTCCCCTCTCATTCCCGCTCTTCTCCCTTCCCCTCCCCTCCCCTCCCCTCCCCTCCCCTCCCCTCCCTTTCCCTCCCCTCCCTTTCCGTCCTCCCTACGCACAACCCCTCAGGTGAGGCGCCTGGAATCAGACAGGGCACTGCTGAAGAAGCAGGTGGACGGGTTCGCATCTCAGCTGCTCCCATCCTCCCTTCTGCCCCCCTCCTCTCCCTGTCCCCCCATTCGCGTGCTCCCTTCTCCTCCCCACCCCTCCCAACAACCCCTCAGGTGCGGCGCCTGGAATCGGACAGGGCGCTCCTGAAGAAGCAGGTGGACGCGTTCACGTCTCAGCTGCACCCATTCTCGCTGCTGCCCCTCCCCCGCCCTTCTTCTCCTCTCCCGTCCCCTCCGCACATGACATCCTCCCAGGTGCGGCGGCTGGAATCAGACAGGACGCTGTTGAAGAAGCAGGTGGACGCGTTCGCGTCTCAGCTGCACCTCACCAACTCGCAGCTGGCTCAGGCGCAGGCGGCTCTGCAGGCAGCAGAGGAGCAGAACAATGCGCACTCCAACCAGGTGCGTGCGTGGATGATAATTTACTTTCACCAGATAGCACTGTTTAGCCGAGGCAGCAGTGGGACTAGGTTCGCGAGGCGTTCGCGTCTCAGCTGCACCTCACCAACTCGCAGTTGGCTCAGCCACAGGGGGCACTGCAGGCAGCGGAGGAGCAGAGCAAGACGCACTCCAACCAGGTGCGTGGCTGATAATTTCTTTTTTGAGTCGACTCAAAACTCCAGCCAGGTGCGTGGCTGGTCATGCCTTGCCTACCCTCTTCCACCTGTCTATTCATCAAACCAGAGGCCATTGCAGGCAGCAAAGGCGATCAGGCAGTGCATGCAGTCGATTCATTGCAGGGACAACGCACCAATGCCCTGCATCTGTTCTCCTTACTCTCTTGCCTTCCTTCCCCCATCCTCATCCGTCTCCCCTTCTCTCGTGCCTTTCCTCCCCCCGTCCTGAATTGAATCCCCATCCGTCTTCCCTGTGCTGTGTGGCCCTCCCACCATCCCCGTCCCCATGCCTCAGTCGGAGGAGCAGGCAGCAGCGCTGCGCAAGGCAGTGGAAGCAGCAGGCATTGAGAGGGATGCAGCTGTGCTTGCCAAGGTACTCTTTCTTTCTTTCTTTCGTTCTTTACCTTTTTGTTGTTGTTTAATCCTCTGCTCGTTATTGGATCTTTTCCATTCGCTAGTGCAATGTAGGTAGGTAGTGCTGCTGTGCTCGGAGCAGGTGCCATACTCCAGCCTCCTCTCTCCAAGGAGTGTAAGATGCTCCTACAAGGAGTAGATGGGCTTGGTACTGCATGTTATGCAGGGGGCAATTGGGTAAGCGTCTAAGGGCACTTGCTGCTGTTGTTGCCTCCTACTGTTCCCTATGGTCTCGGTCTCTCATCTCCTCTCCCCCTTTCCCCACACCTCCCCTTCTTTTTGGAGCAGGAGGACCTGGCATCGCAGGTGCGGGTGCTGAAGAGACGACTTCAGGGCTGATGCTGTTGTTACTGCCTCCTAACCTGTGGCTTTCATGTCCCCCTCCACTCCCTCTTTCCCCTTCTTTTTGGAGCAGGAGGACCTGGCATCGCAGGTGCGGGTGCTGAAGAGACGACTTCAGGGCTGATGCTGTTGTTACTGCCTGCCTAACCTGTGGCTTTCATGTCCCCCTCCACTCCCTCTTTCCCCTTCTTTTTGGAGCAGGAGGACCTGGCATCGCAGGTGCGGGTGCTGAAGAGACGACTGCAGGAGGCAGAGGAGGAGCAATGCAAGGTAACTAGAGCGAGCTCAGTGCAATGCAAGGTAACTAGAGCGAGCTCAGTGCAATGTCAAGGTAACTAGAGCGAGCTCAGTGCAATGTCAAGGTAACTAGAGCGAGCTCAGTGCAATGTCAAGGTAACTAGAGCGAGCTCAGTGCAATGTCAAGGTAACTAGAGCGAGCTCAGTGCAATGTCAAGGTAACTAGAGGGAGCTCAGTGCAATGTCAAGAGGGAGCTCAGTGCAATGTAAAGGTAACTAGAGGGAGCTCAGTGCAATGTCAAGGTAACTAGAGGGAGCTCAGTGCAATGTCAAGGTAACTAGAGGGAGCTCAGTGCAATGTCAAGGTAACTAGAGGGAGCTCAGTGCAATGTCAAGGTAACTAGAGGGAGCTCAGTGCAATGTCAAGAGGGAGCTCAGTGCAATGTAAAGGTAACTAGAGGGAGCTCAGTGCAATGTCAAGGTAACTAGAGCGAGCTCAGTGCAATGTCAAGGTAACTAGAGCGAGCTCAGTGCAATGCAAGGTAACTAGAGCGAGCTCAGTGCAATGTCAAGGTAACTAGAGCGAGCTCAGTGCAATGTCAAGGTAACTAGAGCGAGCTCAGTGCAATGTCAAGGTAACTAGAGCGAGCTCAGTGCAATGTCAAGGTAACTAGAGCGAGCTCAGTGCAATGTCAAGGTAACTAGAGCGAGCTCAGTGCAATGTCAAGGTAACTAGAGCGAGCTCAGTGCAATGTCAAGGTAACTAGAGCGAGCTCAGTGCAATGTCAAGGTAACTAGAGCGAGCTCAGTGCAATGTCAAGGTAACTAGAGCGAGCTCAGTGCAATGTCAAGGTAACTAGAGCGAGCTCAGTGCAATGTCAAGGTAACTAGAGGGAGCTCAGTGCAATGTCAAGAGGGAGCTCAGTGCAATGTAAAGGTAACTAGAGGGAGCTCAGTGCAATGTCAAGGTAACTAGAGGGAGCTCAGTGCAATGTCAAGGTAACTAGAGGGAGCTCAGTGCAATGTCAAGGTAACTAGAGGGAGCTCAGTGCAATGTCAAGAGGGAGCTCAGTGCAATGTAAAGGTAACTAGAGGGGGCTCAGTGCAATGTCAGGGTAACTAGAGGGAGCTCAGTGCAATGTCAAGGTAACTAGAGGGAGCTCAGTGCAATGCAAGGTAACTAGAGCGAGCTCAGTGCAATGTCACGGTAACTAGAGCGAGCTCAGTGCAATGTCAAGGTAACTAGAGCGAGCTCAGTGCAATGTCAAGGTAACTAGAGCGAGCTCAGTGCAATGTCAAGGTAACTAGAGCGAGCTCAGTGCAATGTCAAGGTAACTAGAGCGAGCTCAGTGCAATGTCAAGGTAACTAGAGCGAGCTCAGTGCAATGCAAGGTAACTAGAGCGAGCTCAGTGCAATGTCAAGGTAACTAGAGCGAGCTCAGTGCAATGTCAAGGTAACTAGAGCGAGCTCAGTGCAATGTCAAGGTAACTAGAGCGAGCTCAGTGCAATGTCAATTTAACTAGAGGGAGCTCACTAGGAGCGCCTCTGTGCAAGGTAACAGCGGGCATTGGCAATGGGGAGCAGTAGAGAGCTGCTGGTTAGTAGCATGGATGGTCTGTCTGTCGCATGCGGTCCATCATTGATACTGAGGGGGTGTTTCGAGACGTCTCAAAACACGCATGCGCTCCATCATTGATACTGAGGGGGTGTTTTGAGATGTCTCAAAACACACATGCGCTCCATCATTGATACTGAGGGGGTGTTTTGAGACGTCTCAAAACACGCATGCGCTCCATCATTGATACTGAGGGGGTGTTTTGAGACGTCTCAAACCACGCATGCGCTCCATCATTGATACTGAGGGGGTGTTTTGAGATGTCTCAAAACACGCATGCGGTCCATCATTGATACTGAGGGGGTGTTTTGAGACGTCTCAAACCACGCATGCGCTCCATCATTGATACTGAGGGGGTGTTTTGAGACGTCTCAAACCACGCATGCGCTCCATCATTGATACTGAGGGGGTGTTTTGAGACGTCTCAAACCACGCATGCGCTCCATCATTGATACTGAGGGGGTGTTTTGAGACGTCTCAAACCACGCATGCGCTCCATCATTGATACTGAGGGGGTGTTTTGAGATGTCTCAAAACACGCATGCGGTCCATCATTGATACTGAGGGGGTGTTTTGAGATGTCTCAAAACACGCATGCGGTCCATCATTGATACTGAGGGGGTGTTTTGAGATGTCTCAAAACACGCATGCGGTCCATCATTGATACTGAGGGGGTGTTTTGAGACGTCTCAAACCACGCATGCGCTCCATCATTGATACTGAGGGGGTGTTTTGAGACGTCTCAAACCACGCATGCGCTCCATCATTGATACTGAGGGGGTGTTTTGAGATGTCTCAAAACACGCATGCGGTCCATCATTGATACTGAGGGGGTGTTTTGAGACGTCTCAAACCACGCATGCGCTCCATCATTGATACTGAGGGGGTGTTTTGAGATGTCTCAAACCACGCATGCGCTCCATCATTGATACTGAGGGGGTGTTTTGAGACGTCTCAAACCACGCATGCGCTCCATCATTGATACTGAGGGGGTGTTTTGAGACGTCTCAAAACACGCATGCGCTCCATCATTGATACTGAGGGGGTTGTTTTGAGACGTCTCAAAACACGCATGCGGTCCATCATTGATACTGAGGGGGTTGTTTTGAGACGTCTCAAAACACGCATGCGCTCCATCATTGATACTGAGGGGGTGTTTTGAGATGTCTCAAAACACACATGCGCTCCATCATTGATACTGAGGGGGTGTTTTGAGACGTCTCAAACCACGCATGCGCTCCATCATTGATACTGAGGGGGTGTTTTGAGATGTCTCAAAACACGCATGCGGTCCATCATTGATACTGAGGGGGTGTTTTGAGACGTCTCAAACCACGCATGCGCTCCATCATTGATACTGAGGGGGTGTTTTGAGACGTCTCAAACCACGCATGCGCTCCATCATTGATACTGAGGGGGTGTTTTGAGACGTCTCAAACCACGCATGCGCTCCATCATTGATACTGAGGGGGTGTTTTGAGATGTCTCAAAACACGCATGCGGTCCATCATTGATACTGAGGGGGTGTTTTGAGATGTCTCAAAACACGCATGCGGTCCATCATTGATACTGAGGGGGTGTTTTGAGATGTCTCAAAACACGCATGCGGTCCATCATTGATACTGAGGGGGTGTTTTGAGACGTCTCAAACCACGCATGCGCTCCATCATTGATACTGAGGGGGTGTTTTGAGACGTCTCAAACCACGCATGCGCTCCATCATTGATACTGAGGGGGTGTTTTGAGACGTCTCAAACCACGCATGCGCTCCATCATTGATACTGAGGGGGTGTTTTGAGATGTCTCAAAACACGCATGCGGTCCATCATTGATACTGAGGGGGTGTTTTGAGACGTCTCAAACCACGCATGCGCTCCATCATTGATACTGAGGGGGTGTTTTGAGATGTCTCAAACCACGCATGCGGTCCATCATTGATACTGAGGGGGTGTTTTGAGACGTCTCAAACCACGCATGCGCTCCATCATTGATACTGAGGGGGTGTTTTGAGACGTCTCAAACCACGCATGCGCTCCATCATTGATACTGAGGGGGTGTTTTGAGATGTCTAAAAACACGCATTCGCTCCATCATTGATACTGAGGGGGTGTTTTGAGACGTCTCAAACCACGCATGCGCTCCATCATTGATACTGAGGGGGTGTTTTGAGATGTCTCAAACGCATGCGGTCCATCATTGATACTGAGGGGGTGTTTTGAGACGTCTCAAACCACGCATGCGCTCCATCATTGATACTGAGGGGGTGTTTTGAGACGTCTCAAACCACGCATGCGCTCCATCATTGATACTGAGGGGGTGTTTTGAGACGTCTCAAACCACGCATGCGCTCCATCATTGATACTGAGGGGGTGTTTTGAGATGTCTCAAAACACGCATGCGGTCCATCATTGATACTGAGGGGGTGTTTTTAGATGTCTCAAAACACGCATGCGGTCCATCATTGATACTGAGGGGGTGTTTTGAGATGTCTCAAAACACGCATGCGGTCCATCATTGATACTGAGGGGTTTGTACCTCGTCGTGCTAGCAGCAGAGCAGAGCTGAGAACGCTGCAGCATTTAACTGAGGCCACAGTGGATCGGGCAGGTGTGGCGTGTGCCCACTTTCCTGCTTTTTTCAGCAGAAGAGGCATCAGCAGCGCTAGCAGCAGAGCTGAGGGCCTTGCAGCACTCAACAGGGGCCACAGTGGATCGGGCAGGTGCGGCGCCGGCGTGTGCCCACTCCCTTTCTTTCTTCCCTTCCCTCTGTCCGTTTCCCACCAATTGCAGGCAGAAGAGGCAGCGGCAGCATTAGCAGCAGAGCTGAGGGCGCTGCAGCACTCAACAGAGGCCACAGTGGTTACATAGAGCAGGCATGCACGGTTTTTGCAAGCTCCCCATTTCTCCGTTTCTTTTCATAACGTCTCACCCTTTACAGGCAGAAGAGGCATCGGCGGCGCTAGCAGCAGAGCTGAGGGCGCTGCAGCACTCAACTGAGGCCACAGTGGATCACGCAGGCAGATGTGGTGGCATTAGTATTTTCTCCCTCTGTCCTCTGTATTCCTGCTTCCTTTCTTCCCTTCCGCAGGCAGAAGAGGCATCAGCGGCGCTAGCAGCAGAGCTGAGGGCGCTGCAGCACTCCACAGAGGCCACGGTGGATTGGGCCGGCGCAGCGACATGTGCCCACTCCCCTTCTTTCTTCCCTTCCCTCCCTCCATTTCCCACCATTTGCAGGCAGAAGAGGCGTCAGCTGCCCTAGCAGCAGAGCTGAGGGCGCTGCAGCACTCAACAGAGGCCACAGTGGATCGGGCAGGTGCGGCGTTTGCTCCCGACCCTGACCAGCTCCGCGTTGCCGAAGCTGCCAGAGATGCCGCCAAGGCTGAGCTGCAGGTACGGAACAGGTGGGGGAGAGGCATGGTGTGAGTGGGTGTGGACTTGAATGTGGGTGTACGCTAGATGAGTGTGTCTTGAATGGTTTTGAATGGTCTTGAAAGGTATTGAGTGGTTGTGCGTGGTCTGGAATGGTTCTGAGTGGTCTTGAATGGTCTTGCATGGTCTTTCATCATGTCCCTCTTTCCCCTTTCCTTGAACAACTCAAGGCCTTGTGACTGGCAGCAGCTGACAGGCATGCAGCAGCAGCTGACAGGCATGCAGCAGCAGTTGACAGGCATGTGGTTCTCAAGCAGAGGCAGAGCCACAGAGAATGGTCAGATCAGATGCAAGCATGTATGCATGCCTATATATCCTTCTCACCCTACGTGATTGAAGAAGTGTTTAGAGACGTCTCAAAACACCTTCAATCACAAACCACAGAGAATGGTCAGATGCAAGCATGTCCACATACCTATCTATCCTTCTCACCCTGCCCTCTCTCCTCCGCCATCCCACCACAAGATCTGCGGCAGGAGTTGACAGGCATGCGGCAGCAGCTGATAGCGGAGAGGCAGCAGGCGGCACAAGGCACAAGTGTCCCAGCGTGCCTATTTCCCCCTCTTACAACACCCTCTCCCCCTCTTACAACACCCTCTCCCCCTCTTACAACACCCTCTCCCCCATCCCACCACAGGACCTGCGCCAGGAGCTGACAGGCATGCGGCAGCAGCTGATAGCGGAGAGGCAGAGGGCGGCAGCGGCGACTGGAGGGAAGGAGTCGGTTGAGAAGCAGCTGGCAGCCGTGCAGGCGAGTCTGAAGGTGGGTTGAGCAAGGAGGAAAGAGGAGATTTCACATCAGAGCCAGGTGAAGTTGAAAGGTAAGCACAACAGCAGCGGCGGCTGGAGGGAAGGAGTCGGTTGAGAAGCAACTGGCAGCCGTGCAGGCGAGTCTTAAGGTGCGTGGGTGGGGGGAGGAGGAGGGGAGGAGATTGGAGAGGGAAGGTTGGAGGCACATGGAGGCTGAGAAGCACGTAGGTGAAATTGAGAGCTGTGCAAGTGGCAGCGGCGGCTGGAGGGAAGGAGTCGGTTGAGAAGCAGCTGGCAGCCGTGCAGGCGAGTCTTAAGGTGCGTGGGTGGGGGGAGGAGGAGGGGAGGAGATTGGAGAGGGAAGGTTGGAGGCACATGGAGGCTGAGAAGCACGTAGGTGAAATTGAGAGCTGTGCAAGTGGCAGCGGCGGCTGGAGGGAAGGAGTCGGTTGAGAAGCAGCTGGCAGCCGTGCAGGCGAGTCTTAAGGTGGGTTGATCAAGGTTTTTGTGTGTGTGTGTGTGTGTGTGTGTGTGTGTGTGTGTGTGTGTGTGTGTGTGTGTGTGTGTGTGTGTGTGTGTGTGTGTGTGCGTGCCTGCGTGCGTGCCTGCGTGCGTGCCTGCGTGCCTGCGTGCGTGCGTGCGTGCGTGCGTGCGTGCGTGCGTGAGTGCGTGCGTGCGTGCGTGCGTGCGTGCGTGCGTGCGTGCGTGCGTGCGTGCGTGCGTGCGTGCGTGCGTGCGTGCGTGCGTGCGTGCGTGTGTGTGTGTGTGTGTGTTCAGTTCGATTGTTCTTTGGTAATCCCCTCATTTTCTATATTTGTGCCATCTTCAGGAGGCATTGGAAGCAGAGGAGAGGCTCAAGATCAATGCAAAGGCGGAGGTTCGGCAAGAGGTGGAACGGGACCTCAGGTCCGACATCGAGGCGGAAGTTCGGCAGAAGCTGGATGCGGAGGTCCGGGAAGCGGCTGAGGCTGAGGCTCGGAAGGAGATGGAATCCGAGGTTCGGCAGGACGTGGAAGGGAAGGTTCGGAAGGAGCTTGAAGTGGAGGTTCGGGAGAAGTTGAAGGCAGAGGTTCGGGAGGAGCTAGGAAGGGAAGCTGGGAGAAGTGCTGAGGAGGACTCAAAGGCCAACAGTCAAGGATTGGTGGATGTGGGAACTCAAGCGTCGTCTGTGAGCGAGGAGGCTCGGAAAGAGATCGAGGCAGCCGCTGTGGCTCGGATTCGGCAGGAAGTGAAGGAAGAGGTTCGAAAGGAGCTTCGGAACGAGGTTGAGAAGCAGGTCCGGGAAGAGGTGACTGAGAAGGTTCGGAAGGAGGTGCGGAAGGAGGTAGAATCGGAGTTGAAAAAGTCTAAGGCCGATCCTGAGGGTGCTTCGACTGCTGCTGCTAGTGGTGGTGGTGGTGGAACTGCGGTTGAGAGTGGTGCAGAGGGTGAAGGGGACAATGAGAGAGCGGAGGTGGAGGGTAAAGGTGAAGGAGTAGGTGAAGTTGTGGCAAGTGGAGGAGAAGGAGAAGGAGCAGGAGCAAGGGCGGGAGAAGGGTCGGCAGCAGGGGCGGCAGCAGGGGCAGGAGAAGGTGCGGGAGAAGGGGCGGGTGCAGGGGGAGGAGAGGCAAGTGAACCGGTGGGGCAGTCTATTGAAGAGCTTGCACGATTGAAGGTAATTTGCCTTTCCTTTCTTCCCCGTTCTAATGGCTGCCTGGTTCTTATTATGCTCGCACGCATGCAATGAGACGAGTTCGTCTGAGACTTTTTTCCGGACTCTCAAGAGTATTGCTTGGGCGCATCGCATTCAGCGCTTGTCTGCTGCGCTCGCAGGTCATAGAAAAAGGCTCTGCATGCGTCGTGAAACTTCTGGATCTAGAGAAATCTCTGCGTCTTACCTTTGGAAGGGGGGGGGGAGAGAGCAGAGGTGGAGCAGAGGGGCTCTAATGCTCAAGGTTCTGCTTCTGCCTTTTGCTTCTGCTTCTGCTGCGCCCATGGTCATGACAGGAGGAGGCACAGAAAGCAGAAGCAGTGCGGGGTCAGCTGCAGCAGCAGTTGGAGAAGCTACAGGTGTCTCTGGCTAAGAAGGAGAAAGCGCGGCTGAGACTCCTGTCTGAGGTGAGTACTCCTCTAACCCACCAAGGTGCCTTGTGAGGCGAGTCTGAGATTGCTGCAGCTGCAGCTGGAGAAGCTGCAGGCGTCGCTGCCTAAGAAGGAAAAGGCACGGCTGAGCATGCAATCTGAGGTGAGCATTCCTTCAGTCAAGGTGTGGTATGCGGTTAAGTCACTGCAGCTGCAGCTGCAGAAGCAGGTGGAGAAACTGCAGGCGTCGCTGGCTAAGAAGGAGAAAGCACGGTTGAGACTGCTGTCTGAGGTGAGTGCTCCTTCCGACAAGGTGTGGTATGCGGTTGTGGTATGCTGCAATCCCCTGTATCATTCTCTTTCCCCAGTCACTGCCAGAGTAACTAACTCTTCTGACTCCCATCTATCTCCATCCCTCCCCACTGCTCGTCGATTTTCTTGCATAGTGCGTCACTTTTATTAATCACATTCCATAGTCATCGCTTCCTGGATTGTACTATCTCTATCTCAACCATCCCATTTCTGCCGCCCATCCACATGCACCCATCAGTTGGATTCCCAGTCGCTCCAGATAGAGTGCCTCTTTTCTGTCATAAACAAACCAAGCAATCATCTACCAATCGTTTTTTGCCATCCACGAACGCCCATCAGGTGGATTCCCAGTCGCTCCAGATAGAGAGACTATTTGCGGAGAACTCAGGGCTGGCAGCGGGGCTCAAGGAGGTCTCTGCCATTGCCGCCCGCTGGGAGGCTCAGGTGAATGCAACAGAGGCTCAGGTGGGAACAACAGAGGCTCAGGTGAGTTCAGTGAAGCTTAGGTGGTGAGTGCGAGAGAGGCTCAGCCTCAGGTGTGCGCAACAGAGGCTCACCAAGAATGTTCTTGTCTGGATGCGTTTCATTTCCATGCTCCATTTTCCCTTTCTTCCCGACCCATCTGGTCCATTTAGCCTGGGGCGTACCTCCTCCTCCTCCTCCTCCCCGTTTGATTATATCTCTTCAGGTTCGCGCATGGCAGCAGCTGCAGAGCGAGCAGCAGCAGCAGGTGGACAGCGGCACAGGGGCAGCAACAGCAGGAGGAGCATCAATAGCAGCAGGCACAGGAGCAGGAGCAGCCTCTTCAGTAGAAAAGCCAGCAGGAACAGGAGAGTTATTCGCAGCAGCAGGAGCAGCAGCAGCAGCAGCAGCAGCAGCAGCAGCTGGAGGGGCGGTGGGTCCGGGGTTAGGAGACACGGACACAGATGCAGACACGGACGATCCAGAGCTGCCAGTCTCCACCTCCCCCAGGCAACACCTGGAGCTGCCACCAGTAAACACCTCCCCCAGGCAACACCTGGAGCTGCCACCAGTAAACACCTCCCCCAGGCAACTTCTGGAAGTGCCTCCGTTTTCTGGTGCTGGGGCCTCAGCAAGTGGGGAAGAGAATGGGGAGGTGGTGATGGTGGGTCTGCAGGGGGATGGCGTGAAGATGGAGGGGTCAGGAGTGGTGGAAGGTGGTGGAGAGGAGGGGGCAGGGAAGGAGGATGGGGAGAGGAAGGAGATCGGGGATGGGGTTAGAGGTGGGGAGGATGGGGGAGTGAGCACGAGGAGGGGAGCGAGTCCGGATATGATTGGCGGGAAATCCATGGCAGTTCTGGAGGAAGAGAACAGGAAGCTCAAGGTGAGACAAGGAAAAGTTCAAAGAAGTTTTTGGAGAAGTGTTTGTTTAATGAACTAAGTGCCACTCAATGGAGGTGCTGGTAGAAGAGAACAAGAAGAGGAGCAAATCTTAGCTAAGTGCCTCTGAAATGAACGAATGCACGGGGAGTTGTGGACATGCTAATGGAATGGAAGAGAACGAGAAGTTGAAGGTCATCAGGAGTGAGAGTAGAGAGGGGCGAGTCAACTGTGAGAAAGCGAGGTGACTTTTGAGTCGACTCAAAAGTCACAATGGCCATCAGGAGTGAGAGTAGAGAGGGGCGATTCAACTGTGAGAAAGCGAGGTGACTTTTGAGTTGACTCAAAAGTCACAATGGCCATCAGGAGTGAGAGTAGAGAGGGGCGATTCAACTGTGAGAAAGCGAGGTGACTTTTGAGTCGACTCAAAAGTCACAATGGCCATCAGGAGTGAGAGTAGAGAGGGGCGATTCAACTGTGAGAAAGCGAGGTGACTTTTGAGTCGACTCGAAAGTCACAATGGCCATCAGGAGTGAGAGTAGAGAGGGGCGATTCAACTGTGAGAAAGCGAGGTGACTTTTGAGTCGACTCAAAAGTCACAATGGCCATCAGGACTGAGAGTAGAGAGGGGCGATTCAACTGTGAGAAAGCGAGGTGACTTTTGAGTCGACTCAAAAGTCACAATGGCCATCAGGAGTGAGAGTAGAGAGGGGCGATTCAACTGTGAGAAAGCGAGGTGACTTTTGAGTCGACTCAAAAGTCACAATGGCCATCATGAGTGAGAGTAGAGAGGGGCGATTCAACTGTGAGAAAGCGAGGTGACTTTTGAGTCGACTCAAAAGTCACAATGGCCATCAGGAGTGAGAGTAGAGAGGGGCGATTCAACTGTGAGAAAGCGAGGTGACTTTTGAGTCGACTCAAAAGTCACAATGGCCATCAGGACTGAGAGTAGAGAGGGGCACGTCAGCTGTGAGAAAGCGAGGTGACTTTTGAGTCGACTCAAAAGTCACAATGGCCATCAGGAGTGAGAGTAGAGAGGGGCGATTCAACTGTGAGAAAGCGAGGTGACTTTTGAGTCGACTCAAAAGTCACAATGGCCATCAGGACTGAGAGTAGAGAGGGGCGATTCAACTGTGAGAAAGCGAGGTGACTTTTGAGTCGACTCAAAAGTCACAATGGCCATCAGGACTGAGAGTAGAGAGGGGCGATTCAACTGTGAGAAAGCGAGGTGACTTTTGAGTCGACTCAAAAGTCACAATGGCCATCAGGACTGAGAGTAGAGAGGGGCGATTCAACTGTGAGAAAGCGGTGGCACCATCTTGTTCTCTTACCACTATGTTTTCCGTGCCTTCGTTCCTCCCAAGCACCCTCCTTTCCCTCCATCCATTGCTATCCTTCACCACCCTCGCCACCACCTGTCTCTGCCCCTGTCTACCCCACTCTGCCCCTCTCTACCCCACTCTTCCCCCCTCTTCTCCTCTCTGCCCCTCTCTGCCCCACTCTTTCCCCCTCTTCTCCTCTCTGCCCCTCTCTGCCCCACTCTTCCCCCTCTTCTCCTCTCTGCCCCTCTCTGCCCCTCTTTCCCCCTCTCCTCCTCTCTGCCCCTCTCTGCCCCACTCTTCCCCCCTCTTCTCCTCTCTGCCCCTCTCTGCCCCACTCTTCCCCCCTCTTCTCCTCTCTTCCCCTCTCTTCCCCACTCTTCCCCCCTCTTCTCCTCTCTTCCCCTCTCTTCCCCACTCTTCCCCCCTCTTCTCCTCTCTTGCCCTCTCTGCCCCTCTCTACCGCTCTCTGCTCTCCTCCCTTCCCCACTACAGGACGATCTCACTGCCGCCCAGAACCGCATCCGCCAGCTGTCAGTGCAGGCGCTGCGCTCCGATGCCAGCTGCACCACGGCCGTCCAGAGGCTATCACAGACCAAGCGGATGTGAGTAGTGCCGCGTTGTTGATGGTGCAAGTGGTGGTAGTAGGTAGGTGGGCCCACAAGGCGCTGCGCCGCGCTGCGATGCCAGCTGCACAACTGCCGTCCAGAGGCTTTCCCAGACCAAGCGTGCTCCCCTCAGCGTTTTTGAGAACTCCCAAGAGTCGACTCAAAAAGCGCGCTCCCTTTAGCGTTTTTAAGAACTCCCAAGAGTCGACTCAAAAAGCGCGCTCCCTTTAGCGTTTTTTAGAACTCCAAAGAGTCGACTCAAAAGGCGCGCTCCCTTTAGCATTTTTAAGAACTCCCAAGAGTCGACTAAAAAAGTGCGCTCCCCTTAGCGTTGGTCCAGTAGCAGCTTGACCACCACTGCTGTTCAGAGGCTCTCTCGCTCAGACAAGGCGGCTGTGAGTAGCGTGCTGCTGCTGACCTGCTGGCTTCTCTCCCCTTGCCACTGCATTGCCATCCAACGGTTTTTCCCCTGCGCTCAACTCAAAGCACCATCCTCACTTGATCACCCCACATCTGTCCCCTGCTTCCTGCCCTGCCTTTCTTTCGACTCTCCTCCATCCATCAAGTTTTGGGGTTTTTGGTTTTTTCTCTTCCTCTCTTTCTCTCTGGGAAAGGAAAGGTGGACTTATTCTGACGCATGTATGCCCTCACTTGTGTACTTGTGATTGTGAGTGCTTTATCAGGTATGGCCCTCTGTTGAGCAGCATCGAGCAGAAGCTTCTCCAGTACAAGCAGGAAGCGTCCCTGCAAGGTCATGTGTGAAGTGACTGTGCATTGTCTGATTATGCTCAGTAGATACGTACTTGTATGTTTCACATTGCACAACAATACTATACAAGTATAATCTGCACTCCTCCCAAACTCTTGCCTATTTTTACTCTTTTGACACTGACGTTTTTTCAAATGCATCCTGGTCGTGAATGCCAGGGAAGCTGATGAGGAGGGGAGAAGGGGGAGGAATGGAGGATAACGTATGCAGGGTTGAAGTTCGCTTCAAAAGTGTGGGTCTGCTTCGGGCTGCGCCGCACCCACATGAACGTGTTCCTGGTCATGAACGTGTTCCTGGTCATGAACGTGTTCCTGGTCATGAACGTGTTCCTGGTCATGAACATGTTCCTGGTCATGAACGTGTTCCTGGTCATGAACGTGTTCCTGGTCATGAACGTGTTCCTGGTCATGAACGTGTTCCTGGTCATGAACGTGTTCCTGGTCATGAACGTGTTCCTGGTCATGAACGTGTTCCTGGTCATGAACGTGTTCCTGGTCATGAACGTGTTCCTGGTCATGAACGTGTTCCTGGTCATGAACGTGTTCCTGGTCATGAACGTGTTCCTGGTCATGAACGTGTTCCTGGTCATGAACGTGTTCCTGGTCATGAACGTGTTCCTGGTCATGAACGTGTTCCTGGTCATGAACGTGTTCCTGGTCATGAACGTGTTCCTGGTCATGAACGTGTTCCTGGTCATGAACGTGTTCCTGGTCATGAACGTGTTCCTGGTCATGAACGTGTTCCTGGTCATGAACGTGTTCCTGGTCATGAACGTGTTCCTGGTCATGAACGTGTTCCTGGTCATGAACGTGTTCCTGGTCATGAACGTGTTCCTGGTCATGAACGTGTTCCTGGTCATGAACGTGTTCCTGGTCATGAACGTGGTTCCTCGGTCATGAACGTGTTCCTGGTCATGAACGTGTTCCTGGTCATGAACGTGTTCCTGGTCATGAACGTGTTCCTGGTCATGAACGTGTTCCTGGTCATGAACGGGTCCTGGTCATGAACGTGTTCCTGGTCCATGCACGTGTTCCTGGTCATGAACGTGTTCCTGGTCATTGAACGTGTTCCTGGTCATGAACGTGTTCCTGGTCATGAACGTGTTCCTGGTCATGAACGTGTTTCCTGGTCATGAACGTGTTCCTGGTCATGAACGTGTTCCTGGTCATGAACGTGTTCCTGGTCATGAACGTGTTCCTGGTCATGAACGTGTTCTGGTCATGAACGTGTTCCTGGTCATGAACGTGTTCCTGGTCATGAACGTGTTCCTGGTCATGAACGTCGGTTCCTGGTCATGAACGTGTCCCTGGTCATGAACGTAGTTCCTGGTCATGACGTGTTCCTGGTCATGAACGTGTTCCTGGTCATGAACGTGTTCCTGGTCATTGAACGTGTTCCCTGGTCATGAACGTGTTCCTGGTCATGAACGTGTTCCTGGTCATGAACGTCGTTCCTGGTCATGAACGTGTTCCTGGTCATGAACGTGTTCCTGGTCATGAACGTTTTCCTGGTCATGAACGTGTTCCTGGTCATGAACGTGTTCCTGGTCATGAACGTGTTCCTGGTCATGAACGTGTTCCTGGTCATGAACGTGTTCCTGGGTCATGAACGTGTTCCTGGTCATGAACGTGTTCCTGGTCATGAACGTGTTCCTGGTCATGAACGTGTTCCTGGTCATGAACGTGTTCCTGGTCATGAACGTGTTCCTGGTCATGAACGTGTTCCTGGTCATGAACGTGTTCCTGGTCATGAACGTGTTCCTGGTCATGAACGTGTTCCTGGTCATGAACGTGTTCCTGGTCATGAACGTGTTCCTGGTCATGAACGTGTTCCTGGTCATGAACGTGTTCCTGGTCATGAACGTGTTCCTGGTCATGAACGTGTTCCTGGTCATGAACGTGTTCCTGGTCATGAACGTGTTCCTGGTCATGAACGTGTTCCTGGTCATGAACGTGTTCCTGGTCATGAACGTGTTCCTGGTCATGAACGTGTTCCTGGTCATGAACGTGTTCCTGGTCATGAACGTGTTCCTGGTCATGAACGTGTTCCTGGTCATGAACGTGTTCCTGGTCATGAACGTGTTCCTGGTCATGAACGTGTTCCTGGTCATGAACGTGTTCCTGGTCATGAACGTGTTCCTGGTCATGAACGTGTTCCTGGTCATGAACGTGTTCCTGGTCATGAACGTGTTCCTGGTCATGAACGTGTTCCTGGTCATGAACGTGTTCCTGGTCATGAACGTGTTCCTGGTCATGAACGTGTTCCTGGTCATGAACGTGTTCCTGGTCATGAACGTGTTCCTGGTCATGAACGTGTTCCTGGTCATGAACGTGTTCCTGGTCATGAACGTGTTCCTGGTCATGAACGTGTTCCTGGTCATGAACGTGTTCCTGGTCATGAACGTGTTCCTGGTCATGAACGTGTTCCTGGTCATGAACGTGTTCCTGGTCATGAACGTGTTCCTGGTCATGAACGTGTTCCTGGTCATGAACGTGTTCCTGGTCATGAACGTGTTCCTGGTCATGAACGTGTTCCTGGTCATGAACGTGTTCCTGGTCATGAACGTGTTCCTGGTCATGAACGTGTTCCTGGTCATGAACGTGTTCCTGGTCATGAACGTGTTCCTGGTCATGAACGTGTTCCTGGTCATGAACGTGTTCCTGGTCATGAACGTGTTCCTGGTCATGAACGTGTTCCTGGTCATGAACGTGTTCCTGGTCATGAACGTGTTCCTGGTCATGAACGTGTTCCTGGTCATGAACGTGTTCCTGGTCATGAACGTGTTCCTGGTCATGAACGTGTTCCTGGTCATGAACGTGTTCCTGGTCATGAACGTGTTCCTGGTCATGAACGTGTTCCTGGTCATGAACGTGTTCCTGGTCATGAACGTGTTCCTGGTCATGAACGTGTTCCTGGTCATGAACGTGTTCCTGGTCATGAACGTGTTCCTGGTCATGAACGTGTTCCTGGTCATGAACGTGTTCCTGGTCATGAACGTGTTCCTGGTCATGAACGTGTTCCTGGTCATGAACGTGTTCCTGGTCATGAACGTGTTCCTGGTCATGAACGTGTTCCTGGTCATGAACGTGTTCCTGGTCATGAACGTGTTCCTGGTCATGAACGTGTTCCTGGTCATGAACGTGTTCCTGGTCATGAACGTGTTCCTGGTCATGAACGTGTTCCTGGTCATGAACGTGTTCCTGGTCATGAACGTGTTCCTGGTCATGAACGTGTTCCTGGTCATGAACGTGTTCCTGGTCATGAACGTGTTCCTGGTCATGAACGTGTTCCTGGTCATGAACGTGTTCCTGGTCATGAACGTGTTCCTGGTCATGAACGTGTTCCTGGTCATGAACGTGTTCCTGGTCATGAACGTGTTCCTGGTCATGAACGTGTTCCTGGTCATGAACGTGTTCCTGGTCATGAACGTGTTCCTTTCCTGGTCATGAACGTGTTCCTGGTCATGAACGTGTTCCTGGTCATGAACGTGTTCCTGGTCATGAACGTGTTCCTGGTCATGAACGTGTTCCTGGTCATGAACGTGTTCCTGGTCATGAACGTGTTCCTGGTCATGAACGTGTTCCTGGTCATGAACGTGTTCCTGGTCATGAACGTGTTCCTGGTCATGAACGTGTTCCTGGTCATGAACGTGTTCCTGGTCATGAACGTGTTCCTGGTCATGAACGTGTTCCTGGTCATGAACGTGTTCCTGGTCATGAACGTGTTCCTGGTCATGAACGTGTTCCTGGTCATGAACGTGTTCCTGGTCATGAACGTGTTCCTGGTCATGAACGTGTTCCTGGTCATGAACGTGTTCCTGGTCATGAACGTGTTCCTGGTCATGAACGTGTTCCTGGTCATGAACGTGTTCCTGGTCATGAACGTGAACGTGTTCCTGGTCATGAACGTGTTCCTGGTCATGAACGTGTTCCTGGTCATGAACGTGTTCCTGGTCATGAACGTGTTCCTGGTCATGAACGTGTTCCTGGTCATGAACGTGTTCCTGGTCATGAACGTGTTCCTGGTCATGAACGTGTTCCTGGTCATGAACGTGTTCCTGGTCATGAACGTGTTCCTGGTCATGAACGTGTTCCTGGTCATGAACGTGTTCCTGGTCATGAACGTTTTCCTGGTCATGAACGTGTTCCTGGTCATGAACGTGTTCCTGGTCATGAACGTGTTCCTGGTCATGAACGTGTTCCTGGTCATGAACGTGTTCCTGGTCATGAACGTGTTCCTGGTCATGAACGTGTTCCTGGTCATGAACGTGTTCCTGGTCATGAACGTGTTCCTGGTCATGAACGTGTTCCTGGTCATGAACGTGTTCCTGGTCATGAACGTGTTCCTGGTCATGAACGTGTTCCTGGTCATGAACGTGTTCCTGGTCATGAACGTGTTCCTGGTCATGAACGTGTTCCTGGTCATGAACGTGTTCCTGGTCATGAACGTGTTCCTGGTCATGAACGTGTTCCTGGTCATGAACGTGTTCCTGGTCATGAACGTGTTCCTGGTCATGAACGTGTTCCTGGTCATGAACGTGTTCCTGGTCATGAACGTGTTCCTGGTCATGAACGTGTTCCTGGTCATGAACGTGTTCCTGGTCATGAACGTGTTCCTGGTCATGAACGTGTTCCTGGTCATGAACGTGTTCCTGGTCATGAACGTGTTCCTGGTCATGAACGTGTTCCTGGTCATGAACGTGTTCCTGGTCATGAACGTTTTCCTGGTCATGAACGTGTTCCTGGTCATGAACGTGTTCCTGGTCATGAACGTGTTCCTGGTCATGAACGTTTTCCTGGTCATGAACGTTTTGAGACGTCTCTACTGTTTTTCTTCTGCTAAAGAATTCTCCTAAGCTGCAGCTCGCCTAGTCTCATGGCTGAACGCAACCACATGAACGTGTTCCTGGTCATGAATGAATCCCAGAAAAGGTTTGTTTTGAGGCGCCAAAAAATCGCATGAATGAGTCCTGGTCATAAATGAATTCCAGGGAAGGTTCGTTTTGAGGCGCCTCAAAACTCGCTTCAGGCCGCACCTGCATGAACGCGTCATGCAATGCAGGTCATGAATCCCGGGGAAGGTGGAGGAAGGCTTACCGGGTGTGTGCTTTGAGCCAGTAGTCGAAGAATCGCAGCACACAGGTGTTGCTGCGGGCCAAGTACAACCCAACATTGGCTGCTGCTGCCTTGGGTTCTGGAAGGGCAGAAGGTGGAGTTTACCAGGTGCGAGAAAGAGTGGAAGGAGGAGGGGCTTATCGGGTGTGTGCATTGAGCCAGTAGTCGAAGAATCGCAGCACACGGTCGTTGCTGCGAGCCATGTAGAATCCGCCATTGGCTGCTGCCTCCTTGGGGTCTTCTGACCAGCGATCGCATGCTATGAGCATGTCTGATGAGACGGGGAGCATGTGGGGAAGGGGGTTCTGGTGGAGGGGCGAAGGGAAGGGAAGGGAAGGGGGGCGAGGAAGACAAGAAGAGAGACAGGTAAAGAGGGTGGCTTGAGATAGGGGATTGCTGCATTGGGGTCTGCTGACAAGCGATCGCATGCTATGAGCATGTCTGATGGGATGGGGAGCATGTGGGGGAGGGGGTTCTGGTGGAGAGGAGGGAAGGAAGACGGAAGAGAGATAGTCAAAGGGTGACAGCCTTTGAAGACGTGAAAGACGTGAGATAAGAGATTGCTTCCTTGGGGTGAGCTGACCAGCGATCGCACGTTATTAACATGTCGGATGAAACTGAGAGCATGTGGGGGAGGGGGAGGGGGTTCTGATGGAGGGGAGGGGAGGAAGGGAGGAAGCAGGCAAAAAGGGGTCGGTCGATAAGTGGTCACGGGCTGCTGCTACAATCAACCGTGCACCATTCTCTTTCCATCTAAGAATGAATTCAGTGATATGTCAAGGAGCATCTAAGGATAAATTCAACGGCACAAGACGTTGTCACATACGTTCACACCTGCAGGCTGCAACCCACATGACGTCACTGCCACCCACCTGCAGCCACATGACGTCATCCACCTGCAGCCACATGACGTCATCCACCTGGAGCCACATGACGTCATTGTCTGTGAAGATTGCATCAAATCTTAAAGACAGGATTTGTCTGATGACATGCAGCCGCCTCCACATCTGGGCAGAGTGAGAAGAAGAGATGAGGAGAGATGGGGGGCGATGGGGATGGATGGGGAGAGATGAACAGAGAAATTACAGGAACAGTGGGGAGTGGCAGAGATGTGATGGAAATTCAAGAGGGCGAGGCAACAATAGGGAAAAGCATCATGTGTACGACCATATGCACCTCGTAGCATACTGCCCGCCCAGGAAAGGAACAGTACCAGGTGCAGATACGAGGGGGTCATGAATTTCTTCTGCCCGCCACTGAAGTCGTCCCTCTCACTCTTCGGAGCATCATCCTGCCCACAAAAAAAGAGTTAGGGAAACAAAGACAAGAATCCATTCCAGGTGCGCATACAAGTGCAGGTAGGGTGGGATGGATTGAAAACAGGAAGATTCCACTGACACCTTGTGAAGTGACAGGTACAGTCATCATTTAAGTATACTGCACTGCTCCCTTCTTCCCTCCCTTCCCCTGACGCCTAAACTGCTGCTGGTCCAATTGCCCTCAGCCAGATTCACCTGAGTGTCAAGGAAGCAGTGCAGGCGGAGCGAGCAGCAGAACTCCAGGCTGAGGTGGTCGTAGCAGATCACCAGCAGGCGAGACACCAGCGTGCCCCGCATTTGGAGCATGCGCCCCGTGTGGCCGTGCCTATCAGCACCAACCGGTGGGGATTCAGCCACACGCACGCACCTGTGAGTCAAGGAAGCAGTGCAGGTGGAGAGAGCAGCAGAACTCCAGGCTGAGGTGGTCGTAGCAGATCACCAGCAGGCGAGACATCAACGTGCCTCGCATTTCAGGCCGGTGCTCCGTGCCTGGGTTATCCGCATCTGACTGTGCAGATTCACCTGCGGCACCTCGTAAGTACCCCTCTTCCTGCTGCTGCTGCTCTTGTTGCTGCTGGCTGTGCTTGTCTCGCTCTTCATCAACCAGTCTTATCCTCGTTAAGAACATCTTCATCATGGGTATCCACGCCTCTGACAAAACCGTCACTATCACCACACCACGCCCTAACTCCCCTTCCTCTGCCACCTCAGTCGTCACTTTTGCCGCCTCCGTCTCGTTTCTTTCAACCAGCCTTCCATTTTTTCCAGCGTTGCTGCTGCCAGCAGTGCTGCTGGCTTTGCTGCTGTTTGTGCTGACACTGGTTGCGTCAGCAGCGGCTTCTGCGGCGCGTGGACCCTGTGCTGCCACGTCAGATGCTCGTGGCATGCTTGTCACTAGAGGAGGCATTCTTGCTGACGTGGCCAGGTCGGTAAGAACGTCCTCTAGGCTCCTGCCACGTTTCAGTCAATCCGATCAAACGGTTTGACCACAAAAAGAGGAGGCAAAGCAAGACAAGCGAGGTAGTGTGTGGAAAAAGGAGGGAGAAGGAGAGGGGGTAAGGTCAGAGAGGCGGTAAGAGAGCGGGCAGGACGGGGGATGGGGGGGTGATCTGTCTGCGCACCTTGTTTCAGAACACGAAAATTGATCTGAAAACACTGCCCCAGGCCCCTCAAAAGTTGGTTGTGTAGCAGCAGCAGGTTGGGGGAGTGGAGAGGGGGGCGCGAGGAGAGGGATGGCGAGGAGAGGGAGGAGGATGAGCAGCGAGAGGAGGAGCAGGAGGGTGTTGCTGAAGAGAGTGGGGGTTATTCGTAGGCGGGGTAGGATGTGGTTAGAGGAATGAGGGGGATGAGAAAGACGGGAGGGAGCGGAAGGATGAGAAGGATGAGATTCGATCCGGGTTACAGGCAGGTGCTCGCTGTTCAAGGGAGCGGGAAAGCAAGTGCTCAGGCGGTCCCAAAAGGCAGGAAGGAACGGGGGGGAGAAGGGTGGCGAGGAGGAGGATGAGGAGGAAGAAGATGCGGAAGGAGAGGCAGCAGGGGATCCAGATGCTGGGGAAGGAACCATGAGGGGACGAGCAGCGATGTCCGGTGGCTTCATCGCACAAGAGCCGTCGGAATCGCCGTCGTTGGCATCTAGTGCGCTGTTGTTGCCACCATAAGAGTCGTGGTTGGAAGCCTTGATTGACGGGACGGCAACCGGAACGCCATCATGGTTTGGGTCGTCGTCACTTGATGACGGAAGCGGCATCGCGAGATCCGATCTCAAGACTCCACGGTAATTTTTTTTTTTTTTTTTTTTTTTTTTTTACATCCGCAGCTACCCAAGTAGCTATTGGATTTTTTTATTTTTATTTTACATCCGCAGCTACCCAAGTAGTAGCTCTTACATCCGCAGTAACTCTCACAGGCGAAATGACCCTCCCAAGCTGGGCGATGCTTCAAAACGCTCTTCCCGCATGTAAGACCGAGAGAGAGTGAATGTCGAATGGACTCGAAAGTTCTTTCAACACGGAACACCGCATGGTAGCTGTCTCATACGGACGGGACCCAGCGGGACGGGCCTCTGTCTTGAGTCATGACGACCAGTTTTTGCTCTGCGGGTTGGCGAGGCGGCCACGGCAGCGACGCGGTGCACATGCGCCGCGGCGACAAACCGCAACCGCACCGCATCTTTTGAGTCGAGCTCACCTCACAACCGCACCGCATCATGAATGATGCGGTGATGGTACTAGTGATAACATGGTTGAACCAACTCAAGGTTGTCTTGGTAGTGCCATTAGCCGTCGACGAGGTAAAAAAATGTTTCGCGCGACCTTGGACAACGGGGTCCCCCGACGGCGACAGTGATAGAGGTACGACATCTGTGCTGCGTCTGACAGAGTTTTGAGACGTCTCAGAACTCGCCTGACTAACGAGGGTCGGAGACTAACGAGTGCTTTACGATATGGCCTTGCATTTCCGCCATGTGGCAACTAATGTGCGGTGCGGTGGTGTGTGTGCTACCTGCTGGAGGTTTGGCGGGAACTGGACTAATCTGGCTTCGGCTGGAACAGAAACTTGAATCGTGTTATTTGACTAGGGCGGTTTTGGGCCTTGGGATTGGTGATTTTGTCAGGTTTGCTGAGATTGCTCGTTATGGGAAACGCGATATTTTTATCAGGTGCGATTTGCACATGAGCAACCCTGCTAGTGTGAGAGCTCACTAGAAGTTAAAGATTCGAATCTGAAAACATCTAGAATGGAGGCTCTAGAATATTCAAAAGCAAGGGTCCCGTGTCAGCTGATTTCGCGCCAAAAAGAGAGGCCACTTCTCCTGGTTAAATCCAGGATCTCAAGTAAGAGAAATTGGGATCAATTGCAAAACAGTTGACGCTCAGTTACCCCGTTTCTGTATGCGAAGTAGACTGGTTGGCTAGGCAGTTTGGCGTGCGACACTCCCAAGCTTTTGCCCCAGCACCAAATGCAAAACAATTTCAGAAACATGAGACTGTCGGCAAATTTGTGGCATTCTAGCTTCGGATCCGAACCAAACTCCATGCCTACAAGGTTCGGACACACACAAACGAGTTCAGTTTCCTTCGCACCCCTCGCTGCACCCCTTGCACCTCGTCGACCAATCGCAGCCAAGCTCCAACCATCAACTGCAAAACATTTGTGGTACTTGAGATCCTGGCTTTAAATCGTTGCCACATCAGCACATCCCCGATCTTGTACCCTCTTACAATCACGTGCGCTTGCAAACTAGTACTTAGTCAATACCGCATCACCACGATTTTCAATTAGATTTATTAGACACCCAGATTCCTGTTTACAATATAAACAGCCAAACTCTCTATCTATACGAGAAGACACGTTTGTCTGCTATCCGGGCGATGACGATAAGGGGGAAGGGGTGTGGATGAATTTGGAGGAGCTGTGGTACATAATTACTAAAAGTTTCTCCTTCACAAAACACATCATAAAACCGGTTGAGCCTTCAAATTAGTGACCAGCTAATCTACCAACGTGCCTTTCATGAATGAACAATTCCTCCCTGTCCATTCCTTTCCACGCCGGCCCACTCCCTCCCTGTCCACCAATGGTAGCTGCCGAAACCAATCCACATCACCCAAGACCTGCCATGCCATGCCATGCCATGCCATGCCATGCCATGCCATGACATGCAATGCCATCCACACAGCAAAATTGGTGTTATTCAAATGTTGGGTACATAGGCTACAATAACATTTCACCATGCCATGCCATTGACACTCAAGAAGGTTTATGGAACCGGTGACCTAAAACCACAGACGGTATGTTGACAGGGGTTGGGGAGAAAGGAGGAAGAGAAGGGAGTGTGGGGGAAGCAATTGCAGGAATACATATGAAGATAGTGTGAGGGAAATATCACACTCACCTGCTGCAGCACTTGCATCTTCTCCTCCAGTCCAATACAGCAGTTGGAATGAACAGTGACCAGCCGCCCCAGGTGCCGCCCGATCTCGCAGAATCCGCCAAAACGATTTGTCGGCAGGTAGTGGATGGAGAGACGGAGAGTGTCGCGGGTGTATGGGTCTGCCTCGGGACGCACTTTCATGAATGCATCCTGCTCCTTAATACCAGGGAAGCTGTTTTTCACGGGGGGGAGAATGGGCCGGGGGGGGGGGGGGAGGGAGGGGTGGAGGAGGGAGGTGGAGAGGCTTGAAAAGGATGGCGCCTGGTAACATGGAGACCTGTGGTATATTATAGCGCATGCAATAGTCGGCTTCAGAATTGAATGAAGGCAGCTTAATTGTAAAACCCCGCAGGGCTGGACAAAGGGAGGGTGGTTGGTAGGAGGTTGGGGTGAGCGATGTGCAAAAAGGTGTAGGTGCATGACGAGGTATGGGGGGGGATGACGAGGTGTGCGGGGGGAATGACGAGGTGTGCGGGGGAATGACGAGGTGTGCAAGGAATGACGAGGTGTGCGGGGGAATGACGAGGTGTGCAAGGAATGACGAGGTGTGGGGGGGCATAAAGAGGGTATGGGGAGGCAAGACGAGATGCGTGGGCGGGGATGGGTGTCTGATTATCATCCTCCGTGTATCCTGCATATAGTGATAGTGTTTCCGCACCTCAACCAGATGGAGTGTAAACAAGATCCTAAGGAAGAAGAAGAAAAAAACAAACAAACAAAAAAACAAAATAACCAACTACTTTGTGTACAAGAATAACTACTTCTATGCCAAGGACCCCAATAAAGGAAAGATAGTGCACTGCCGCTACTGCAAGCACAAATTTGCGACCAACCGTATTCTCTGCACCTGCACCGCTCATATTGCGATTTGGAGAAAACAACCCCGTCGGCCAATCTTGGTATGTTCTAAAGCCCCCAAGGACGTAGAGGATGGCTTTGGCAACATGGAGGAAAACATGTGCAGTGCGAGCAGACAGAAAAGGCGGATGGCGCGGTCGTGCCGTGAGCGTTACAGGGAGCGGTGTGCAGTGAGTGGTGCAGTGAGCGGTGCAGGGAGTGACGCGATTGGGAAAAAGAGGGGTCGCACGTCGAAAGAGAACGGAGGGAGTGATGCGAAGAGCGCGATGGACGAGGCCGTATGCCTCCGCATTGCGTTGCGCTGCGGGCATGCGCGTTCCCACAAACCAGGCCGACCATCCTCTACTCTTCCACATGCTGAGAGCGGCTGTAGAGGGCTTACTGGGTGTGGGCAGAGGGTTGGAAGTCGAGACGCTCACCGGGTATGAGCATTGATCCAGTCGTCAAAGAATCAACTTTTGAGTCGACTTTACGTTTGAGTCGACTTTACTTTTGAGTCAACTTGACTTTTGAGTCGACTCACGACTCAAAAGTGAAGTCGAGACGCTCGCTAACCGGGTACGGGCATTGAATCTCAGAGAGGTCGGGTCGTCAAAGAATCTCAGCACACGGCTGCCGTGTCGCTGCGAGCCATGTCGAATCCCCCATTGGCTGCTGCTGCTGCCTTGGGGTGTGAAATAGTGGGAGCTGGAGGAGGGGCTTACAAGGTATGAGAAAAGAAGAGGGGAAGAGAGGCTTACCGGGTATGGGAAGCGATCCAGTAGTCGAAGAATCGCAACACTCGGTCGTTGCTCCGAGCCACGTAGAACCCCGTATTGGCTGCTGCTGGTATTGAGTCAACTCAAAGATCGTCTTACCGGGCGTGTGAATTGAGCCAGTAGTCGAAGAATCGCAGCACACGGTCGTTACTCCGAGCCATGTAGAACCCCGTATTGGCTATCACTGCCTTGAGGTCCGCTGACCAATGATCGCAGGCTGTCACGATGTCGGATGAGATCGGGAGCAGGTAGGGAAAGGGGTTCTGGTGGAGGGGAGGAAAGGAAAGAAGGGAGATGATTAGGTTGGGTCAGAGGACACCTCTGCTTCCGCCTTGAGGTCTGCCGACCAGTGATCGCACGCTGTCGCGATGTCGGATGATATGGGGAGCAGGTAGGGAAGGGGGTTCTGGTATAGAAGAAAAGAAGGTGCGTTGGGAGGGGGGGAGGGGGGGCGGGTGGGGAGGGGAGAATGAAGGAGGGAGAAGAAGAGGGATCTGTGAAGAGAGTCAGCGGATGAAGCGGTTCAAGACAGCAAAATAAGAAGGTTGTTACAACAACTTGTGTACAGTTGTTTTTCCCCGTGTTCTCTAAGAGAATGATTCCGAAAGATGTCTCAAAACGACTCAGATTGCACATAGCAACATGGCGTTGCTGCATGCCTGAATGCAGCCACAAGACGTCACTGCCACCCACCTGCAGCCACATGACGTCACTGCCACCCACCTGCAGCCACATGACGTCATTGTCTGTGAAGATCACATCATATCCTAATGATATGATTCGCCTGATGATATGCAGACGCCTCCAGACCTGAGCAGAGAGGAGAGGACGGAAGCAAATACGAGATGAGGCGACATAGAGGAGAGATGAGGAGATGAGGAGAGATGAGGAGAGATGAGGAGAGATGAGGAGATATGAGGAGAGATGAGGAGAGATGAGGCGAGATGAGGAGAGATGAGGAGATGAGGAGAGGTGAGGAGAGATGAGGAGATGAGGAGAGGTGAGAGGAGATAAGAAAGGATGAAGATAGAATCTAGAGCAACAGCGGGGGAGTGGGCAGAGATGATGCAATAATCCACAAGGACAAAAAAGGGAAAACAAGCAGGGAGATAAAGGGGAAAAGCAGCATCGACGTCCATCCGGATCTCTTAGCATACGGCCCACCCAAAAAGGCAAAAATACCAGGTGCACAAATACCAGGTGCACAAATACCAGGTGCACAAAGGCCGGAGTCATGAACTTCTTCTGCTCGCCACTGAAATCGTCCCTCTCACCCCCTGGTGCATCCTCCTGCCCCCAAAAAACGAAGACGGAAAGGGGCGAGGAGTTTTACCAGGTGCAAATAGGAGGGGGGTGTACTGTGTAGGTTGGGGGAGGGGGGGGTGGAATCAAGAACATTCCTCGAAATGACAGCTTATGATGTGAGAGGTGGCGTTGGTTCCCTAATATACGTACAACGCTCCCTCCCTTATGAGAATTCCAAAAAATGACACACGCTCCCTCCCTTCTGAGAATTCCAAAAAATGACACACGCTCCCTCCCTTCTGAGAATTCCAAAAAATGACACACGCTCCCTCCCTTCTGAGAATTCCAAAAAATGACACACGCTCCCTCCCTTCTGAGAATTCAAAAAAATGACACACGCTCCCTCCCTTCTGAGAATTCCAAAAAATGACACACGCTCCCTCCCTTCTGAGAATTCCAAAAAATGACACACGCTCCCTCCCTTCTGAGAATTCCAAAAAATGACACACGCTCCCTCCCTTCTGAGAATTCCAAAAAATGACACACGCTCCCTCCCTTCTGAGAATTCCAAAAAATGACACACGCTCCCTCCCTTCTGAGAATTCCAAAAAATGACACACGCTCCCTCCCTTCTGAGAATTCCAAAAAATGACACACGCTCCCTCCCTTCTGAGAATTCCAAAAAATGACACACGCTCCCTCCCTTCTGAGAATTCCAAAAAATGACACACGCTCCCTCCCTTCTGAGAATTCCAAAAAATGACACACGCTCCCTCCCTTCTGAGAATTCCAAAAAATGACACACGCTCCCTCCCTTCTGAGAATTCCAAAAAATGACACACGCTCCCTCCCTTCTGAGAATTCCAAAAAATGACACACGCTCCCTCCCTTCTGAGAATTCCAAAAAATGACACACGCTCCCTCCCTTCTGAGAATTCCAAAAAATGACACACGCTCCCTCCCTTCTGAGAATTCCAAAAAATGACACACGCTCCCTCCCTTCTGAGAATTCCAAAAAATGGCACACATGCTCCCTCCCTTCACATGCCCTGCGGCCTTGATGCCTACGCTGCTGCTGCCAGTCCAATTGGTCTCTAGCCCAGCAGTCGCACCTGTCTGCCAACCAAGGAAGCAGTGCGGGCGGGCGCACCTGTGTGTGAATTCAGCAGTGCGGTGCGGTGTGGACACACGCACCTGAGTGTCAAGGAAGCAGTGCAGGCGGAGCGAGCAGCAGAAGGCGAGGCTACGGCGGTCATAACAGATCACGAGCAGGCGAGACACCAGCGTGCCTTGCATTTGAGGCATGAGCCCCGTGCCTATCGGTACCAGCCGGTGGGGATTCAACCACACGCACCTGAGTGTCGAGGAAGCAGTGCAGGCGGAGGGAGCAGCAGAAGGCGAGGCTGTGGCGGTCGTAGCAGATCACGAGCAGGCGAGACACCAGCGTGCCTTGCACCTGAGGGCCATGCCCTGTGCGTGGCATCAGAGGCATGGGCCCCAAGCTGGGCATATGAGCATCTTCCCGCGTGGACTCACCAGCTGCACCTCCTAAGTACCCCTCCTGCTGTGGCTGCTGCTGCTGCTGCTGCTGCTGCTGCTGCTCCTGTGGCTGCTGCTGCAGCTGCTGCTGCTGCTGCTGCTGGCTATGCTTCTCCCGCTCATCTCTTGCATCAACCAGTCTCATCCTCGCTAAGAACATCTTCATCATGGGTATCCACGCCTCTGACAGGACTGTCGCGATCACCACGCCACGAACGGACTCCCCCTGCTCTGCTACCGTACTTGCCTCCTCCTCCTCACCCACCCTTCCACTGTTGCTGCCACTACTGCCCTCGCCACTCACCATTTCACTCCTAGTGTTACCCATGGTACCACCGCCTGTGCTGCTCCTCCCAGCATCGCCATCACTACCACTCTTGCCCCGGGTGTTGTTTCCAGTGTTGATGTCTGTGCTGCTGCCAACAGTGTCACTGTCTGTGCTGCTGTTTGTGCCAGCGCTCTGTGCGTCAGAAGCTGTTTCTGCTGCGCGCGAACCTTGTGGTGCCACGTCAGATGCTGGCTGCTTGCTTGTCATTGGAGGCATTCCTGCTGACGTGGCCAGGTCTGTGAGAACCTCCTGAAGGCTCCTGCCATGTTTGACCGCAAAATGAGGAGGGCAAGAGACGTAGAACGCGAGAGAGTGTTTGGGAGAGAAAACACGACAGGAGAGGGATGTTGAAAACGGTATCTGCTTTCATACAAAATTGGTGATGGATATCCGGTAAGCGGAATCCTGTTTGGTAAATTGGTTCGACACCAAACCAGTTAAAACCCAAGCTGAACCGAACCTCCCTCCGAAGCTGGGGGGGGTAGCATCCCTTAGGTTTCAAGTTCAACGAACAGTGCACCAACCTGACTGGATAACATCATTTTCCCGAAACGCCAACAAACAGAGTGCGGCAGTGCAATACCACTTGGCTGTGGCCGCCCGCCATCAAAGGAAACATGCGTAACGAGGTGACTTTTGAGTCGACTCAAAAGTGACTTATGACTTTTGAGTCGACTCAAAGCGACTTTTGACTTTTGAGTCGACTAAAAGGTCACCTTGTCGCCCGTCATCAAAGGAAACCTGCACGACTTTTGGCGGGAAGGAAGTTCGGGGTTACCCCGCGAACGACAACAGCCTTGGGGACCTTGGGGTATTCCTCCTCACTTTTAGAGCAATTCTAGTTTTGAGGCGCCTCTAACCTTCGGGTACTCCTCCTCACTTTTAGAGCAATTTTAGCGTTCAGATTTTTGGGGATGAGTAAGAGAAGGGCGGGGAGAGAAGAAAGGCCTGCATGCATGCCTCAACTCGGGTCGGGCCATACGAAATGAGTCGAAAGCGTTTAAGTCAGCCTCAGAAAAATGCGTGCATACCTTGACTCAGAGTCAGAACACAAGAAATGAGTCGAATACTCTGATCCATCTGCTGCTGCCAACTCTCCGTTCCCCCAACTACTCGCCCCATCATCCCCCTTGCCCCCCCACGCCTGCGCCCCATCATCCCCCTTCCCCCCCCACGCCTGCGCCCCATCATCCCCCTTCCCCCCCCACGCCTGCGCCCCATCATCCCCCTTCCCCCCCCTCGCCTGCGCCCCAGACCCCTCTGCCGCCGGCTGAGCCGCAGCAGCGGGTGGGGGGAGCGGAGAGGAGGGAGCGAGGGGGATGCAGAGGAGGGGGATGAGGAGGAGCAGCGAGAGGAACAGCGGGAGCGCGTTGCTCGGGAGAGTGGGGGTTACTAGTAGTAGGCGGGGCAGCACGTGGCGAGACTCGGGATGAGAGGGAAGAGAGGGATGAGAGGGAAGAGAGGGATGAGAGGGAAGAGAGGGATGAGAGGGAAGAGAGGGATGAGAGGGAAGAGAGGGATGAGAGGGAAGAGAGGCATGAGAGGGAAGAGATTCTGGAGGATCTTGTTGATAGTCGTGGTCGTGGCGATGCTGCTGCTGCTGGTGAGCTTGCTCGGGGTTGAACCGAGTGACAGGCAGGTGCTGGTTCATCCGAGGAGTGAGAACGTACGAACTCAGGCGGTCCCATATGACGGAGAGGAATGGGCCGTGCGGAGGGGAGGACGAGGCGGAAGACGCGGAGAGGAATGGGCGGGGAGCGGCGGAGAGGAACGCGCGGGGAGGGGAAGGTGACGAGGCGGAAGACGCCGCGGAGGCGGACGAGAACCCGCGGGATAAGGAAGGCGCCACGGGGCGACCAGCGAGGTCCAATGCTCTCGAGGCGCTAAGGGAGTCAACAGAATTACCATCTTCTTCATCCACTGCTCTGTTGACGTTAACCATCGCGAAAAACGTGTAAAAGAACATGCCAGAAAAAAGTGGCAGTTCTCAGCCATAATCGCCATACATACGGCGGGTTATGGCTGGCAGCTGGGGGGCTGTAAGGCATTTGAGGCTTGTGAACTGCTGGGCTGCATATTCATCCAAAATTTCTGGACGCCATACTTGCTTCGCAAGTGAGGGATACGTTGGGGTGCATCCTAATGTTTCGTTTTGGGGCACCCGATAAAAAAATAGTCTCTCGCCCGCGCCACCTGGCCCGGGTCGAGCGGCACTCGGCATTTGCAGGGTAAAGGCCGGGTAAAATCTCACACTGCCGGGGCCTAGGGGCACTCGCCCTTTCCTCACATTTGTTGCACCCGTAACACTAAGTCACTAAAATCTCACAAAAAAACACATGAATGTAGTGACTCAGTGTTACGAGTGCAACAAATGTGAGAGAAACAAACTGCACAAGTATTTGACATGGATTAGAAGAAAAAATTACACTTAGGACCAGAACCCAAGTCTATTGCATATACACCCACTTGATGTCCCCACTTGATAGCCCCACCCCCTTTTTTTGAAATAAGAATAGACCCCCAAGTTTATTTTCCATTTATATACGGTAGCAACCTTGGTAAAGAAAGACCCCCAGTGTAACCATGGACGACACAAAAAGGGCTTCCACCAATTAGGTGATGGCGAAACGTGCTAATGCCACTGGAAGAAAAAGGAGAGAGGGGAGGTGGGGGGGGGGGAGTCACGCAGAATCCATGCCAGTGATGAGTCATAGTTATTCAGGATTCAGGCACCTTTGTGTTCAGACATACAAATGACAGATTGACATCCCTGATAACCCATACACCGTCCCCAACTGTCCTTCCCATGTGAAAAGCCCATCTCTTTCCTCTTCGGGCTTACACATGCAACTAAAGAGGAGCTACGGTATGTACACTGATCCGCTCGCATGCGTGTGTGAACGCGGGGGGGAGGCCAACTGTCCCCAGCTGTCCGTTCTATGTGGAGCCGCTACTCTTGCCTCGTCAGGCTTTCACACACAACCGAGGAGCAGCAGCTATCGGTATGTACACTGATCCACAAGCATGCGCATGTAAACGCAGGGAGGCCAAATGTCCCGATTCTTGAAGGATCCTGTCCTTGTGGAGCGCTGCTGTTGCTCGCTGCCCGTTCCGTTCCAGCTGATGCAAACAAGCGGTACAATACAACAGCTATTTACAGCTGCTACCCAGTTAAGGGGCAGGCACTAATGTGGCGACCCAGGGCTACGCCATGCTGCCCCTGCGTTCATGCTGGGCAGGGAATCGGCAGCAGTATTTGCCACCTTTCAGCATGATCCCTCCTCAGGAGACGACTTTTGAGGCGACTCAAAAGCCCTGCTACCCATGCGTTCACGCTGGACAGGGAATTGGCAGCAGCGTATACCTCCTTTCAGCATGTACCCCTCGTCAGGAGAGCGGTCTGTTGAACACGATGATGCCGAGCAGGAGAATCACGAGAACTGCCACAGCTGGCACCACTTCCGGCCCTCCTTGCTCTCCTTCTCCCGTGAAATCCCCTTCCACACCCCTCCCGCCATCCCCTTTCCGCTTTTGTTCTTCTTTCTCCTCCTCCTCCTCCTCCTCCTCCTCCTCCTCCTCCTCCTCCTCCTCCTCCTCCTCCTCCTCCTCCTCCTCCTCCTCCTCCTCCTCCTCCTCCTCCTCCTCCTCCTCCTCTTTATCCCAGTCACTGTATTGAAAAGCAGCAGCAGGCGTAGCTCCGTGGGTATAATGCAAACTACCACACAACTGCTGCTGATACTTGTTCTCATCCTCCCCTCCTTCCGCCTCCCTCTCCTCCTCCCCGTCACCCCCCTCCTCACTGCTCTCACTCATGTGCTCCAGCGAGTCATGGTGATCCGCACCCAGCAGGAGCAGCAGCGAGCCCCACACAGAACCCGGCAAAGAGGAGAGCTGGTCCAACAGGTGAGACACCACTGATACCACTGATGGCGATGGCGGCGAGGCGGGCGGTGATGGTGCAGGAGCATTCTCAAAAGGTACGAGGGGTCGAGAGGAGCTGGAAAATCGAGTGGCTTGTGGTAGTGACAACGCTGGTCGTGGCGGTGCTGTTGATGCTGAGTATTTGCCAGTTGCTCTGCTGGCAAGTCCAGGTTTGGTAGCCTCTGCTACGGGCACACCGCTGCTTGCTGCTACGTCTCGTGCCACTGCGCCTACTGTTGTTCCTGCTTCTGCTGCTGTTGCAGCAGCAGCCAGTACTGCTGTTGCAGTTTCTTCCCTTGCTACTGCTGCTGTTTCTGCTGCAGTTTCCACAGCTCCTGCTGCTGCTAATTCGGCCACTGCTCTTCCAAAGCAACAACACACATGGACAACAGGCACATAGAAAATGAATGGGCAGAAGAGAGGCCAAAGCCCAAGGCAGAATATGGAGGCGTAAAGCAAGAAAGCATGCCAACCCCTTGCAAATACTCTCTTTCTCAAATAAGAAGAAGAAGAAGAAGTAAAGAAACAGAGCAATGCACACCTGTACTCGTCTCAATGAGACACTCGCAGAACAGAACAAGGGCCTCTGTGTAGAAATCAGTTTTGAAAACTCTCTAGAGTGGCCATTAATGCGACTCAACAAGATCAAAGCAGACCTTTACCGTCTCTCGACCAGGCATCTGTAACAGAACACGTGCCCTGTCGACGTGCCATTATCGCAGACCGTGCATCGACTAACTTCACCACAAAACAGGAATCAACATACCTTTCCCACAAAACGAAGAGTCGAAGTACCTGTAATACAGGGAAGCAGGGTGGCTTCCCGATTTCCTAATAGCCTCCTTGGCAAATCATCAGTCCTCCTGGTTCCTCTGCTCCTTTCAGCACGTGTGCCTGTTTCTAACTCTTCTCCTTCACAACCACTGAGCAACACTCCGGCCCCACCGTTATCAGCAGCGGCAGCAACTGCAGCGGTATCAGCAGCACCAGAAGCCGAATCAGTACCAGAAGCAGCAGAATATTCAACACCACCAGCAGTAGCAGCAGCAGCAGAGGTAAGGGAAGGCGCAGGCGCTCTGTTCCTTCTCCTACGGCCAATCAGCTTCTGCACATCCGGGTTGCTGCCTATGGCCGCCCAGACTGCCGGGTCGCGAGCCACTGACGTCACTGCACTCTGTAAGGAGGGAGAGAGAGGGAAGGATGACACGCAACTCTGTTTTGAGACGCCTCTATATTCACCCATACTGCCGGGTCGCACGTGCGCTCTGGCGGGAGGGAGAGAGGAAAGATGGAAACACGCAACTCTGTTTTGAGACGTCTCAAATCTCACCCACACTGCAGGGTCTCGTGTTACTGACATCACCGCGCTCTGAGGGGAGAGAAGGAAGGTGGAAACACGCAACCCTGAGGAAGACATGGAAGCAAAAGTGAGGAGGAGGACATAATTCTCCTGCAAAAGCAATGTGTCGCATTCGAGAATCCTCAAAAGTGAGGAAGACACAGAAGGAATTTGAAAAAGGGACAACATGGAGAGCTACAAAACGACAAACAACTCCTAAGACCAAGCGCCGAGGAGAGGAAGAGAACAAAAATCAAGCACGCCTCTCACACGAATCCTACCTAAAGCCACTATTTTGAGACGCCTTAAAAGATAAAAAACCCCAACCTAAAGACCTGCATTCAAAGAGAGCAGCTCCAAGGCGTGTGAGACGATCCGCTCCGTACATGCCTTAGTAAAAGGTGCTTTGAAACAACCTCCTACCTGTAGCTCTGCATCCCTAGAGAATAGTTCCAGGGCGTGTGAGACGACCAGCACACGCCTGTCCCGCCCGCCCTCCTGCACGGCCCTTCTGCGTACATCTGTCACCAGCTGATTGGCTGACACGGAGTGGCTGCCAGAATGAAGGGGGTTGGGATGGGAAGGTCACTCTTGGTGTTGGTAGCGGAGCTGGCAAGGAAGGCAACCGTAGGAGACTTTTTGAGGCGCCTCATAAGCAGGCAAGGGAGGAAAAAAAAAAAAAAAAAAGACTTGTTGATAGAAATGGTGTTGATGCTGCATTGATGGGGTGTTGGATAGGGGTTTTAATCCCGTGTAAATGCTGCGATAATAGGGTTTTATACCACATTTTTACTCTGCTATTTTGTTGTTGGGTTGAAAAGCAGTGACTGCTGTTGCCAGCAGCAGGAATAAGACGAATCCAGCAATAACCGTATCAGAGACCAATTACCCAATTCGAGAACCAGCCTCATTGGTTTTGCACTTCTTCACCCACCGCTACTCACTTCCCCACCTCGCTAATGAATCTTTCTCAATCCCTCACCTTTCCCCTCCTCTGAACCCTTCACCAATCCCCCTCACCTTTCGGCACTGCTGAGTCCCAAACAGCACATTGTGAAACGCAAGCTACCTTCCATAACTCAATTCACGGCCTGCTTCAGCTCAGAACCTGCTTGGTTCCATTTCTGTGGTCCATTCCACCTCGGAAGCAACTGAGAAGAGCACGTGCAACAAGTTGCTTGTGTTTTTTCAATCCTCCAAACAAAGCCCGTCGGTTCCATCGACCACAAATCCTACTCTGGAAGACATCAATGTTTTTTTGTTTTTATTAGGCTCCTCGGATAACCGCTTGGTTCCGTTTCTGAGATCACTCTCACCTGGGAAGCGACTGAATGCTGGCGTGCAGTTGCCTCGCCGCGTGAGCCACCTCGGACGCCGACGGGGCTGGCCCTATCCGCACCGATTCCTGAGACGCCTCACCAGCCGGGCCTATTCGCGCAGATTCCCCTCCTATCAACGGTGGCGATCTTCCGGATTGTTCCGACGGTTCGCCTATGGAACGATCGAGATGCTGGTCAGGAGGATGAATCGGCTGGTCACACACGGCAGTCCAATCGTTGCGTAGGGTTTCGCACACGTCCGCACGGGGGTCGCCACCACTGCGATCGTCGCTGATATCACCTCTGCGCTCAGCTTTGCGATCTCTGCGACTATCTGTGCGATCGCCTCCGCGGTCAGCCCCTAGATCTTCCCGGAAATCCTCGCACAGATCCCACTCCTCCTCTCGTGCCGACGCGGCTGCCTGCCGTGAACCCTGAGAGCCCTGAAATGGACGGGAAGGGTAAGGATGGGAGAGAGTCAAAGAGAGTCATTCGTGCGTGCCATTGTCATATCATGGGTGTGAACAAGGAGGATGTAGTCTCTGCCAAAAGAATAGGTACTATAAACACGAGCTGCTGAAACTCGCCTGATGGTTATGTCTTCCAATCGCCTCCATCGATAGGATGACAGCCGCCTGATGCTGTTGCGCAGAAGGAACTTGGCGAATAGACCCTCAGGATTGTCGCTACAGACAAACGCAGTGGCGCACAGACCCTCGGGATTGTCGCCACAGGCAAAAGCAGCAAACGGTTATGGTTGGTGAGAATGGACCAGGGAGTGAAGTGACCTGAGCCGTCAGCCAACTGTGAACCAGGCGATTACGGCCGCTGTTCTACTCGCGTCGCCACGAGGCGTCTACGGAGACCACTAATTCACTGCTGTGGCTAAACTACGACATATTCGCCTTACAAATTGTTTCAAGAACATAGTTTTGCGTAACGCCTGCTAAACGCGAACCACGATTGAGAAAAAACGTACACGCATGGCTACGCTTGCTATATTCTACGACGCGAGAGAACCTGCTTGCTCGCGGAACACAACGGATTTGCCAAATTTTCTGCAATTCTTCTGACGGCCTGTGGGTGATGCACTGATGCGACGAGCACAACAGCGCAAACAGAAACGTAGCACCACAAGACTGGTCCTCTACTGGACGTCTACAAACAGAGAAGCAAAGCTTACAAGTGGCCTGCCAATCCGAGTCATTGCCGCGCAGCTGTCTGTAAGCATGTGATGCACAACGCCCAATGGTGCGTGCGCATCTGGCAAGCCACGAGATTGTTGGGCGGGCGACCTACGAAAATGAGTATATCTCGTATTTCATTCGTGTGCCACGCATGGCTCATATTTCCTCTCTACTGGGTAACTCAAAAAAAATAATTTGTTGGATGCAATACACCACAGTTACCGGTAGTAATACATTCTCCTACTCTTATGAGGAAGGGGGGCTGAGCTGGCTACCCTGCCACTATCTAGTTTACACCGTTACTAGCACCAACTTCTCCATATACACCTCACCAACACCACAACACGGCACGTCTATGAGCTAATGTACCCTATCACAACTTTATTCTCCATTTTACAACTCAAAAGCAAGCTTGCCTAGATGACAAAACCAGATGGAATGGTTGCATTCCTCAACACTGTAACAATCCCCTTGCTGATGACAAAGCCAGCATCCTTCTGTATGGACTCTTGCACTCCGTCCTTGTTGATAATCTGGAAGAGTAAACACAAATGGGGCACGATTCGATCAGACAAGCTAGTTTTTCTCTGAGCAGCAGAGAGTGGTTAAAGCACAAATAGATTCTTACGTGCACATTGTCTCCGATTCGTGCGTTCTTGTCAAGGATAGCTCCCCTGATGATCGAATTTCTCCCAACACCAATGGGCAACTGCCCAGATGCTATCACCCTCTGCAGCTCATCCTCATCCTGGAAATTCAGTGCAGGGGATTGGGTTGCAACATCCGTGTTAAGAGTATGATGTGAATAAGCAGGCTGAGAGCAGCTGTAAAACTAGAATGAGCTGATAACAAATTACACCTGGGAAAAAAAATTCGTGAACAGAAATCATAAACAAATAAGTACCTCGTAGTAGTCAGCTCCTAGCAGCAAGCTGTCGTGGATGGATGACCCAGCACCAACTATCGACCGCAAGCCCACCATTGAGTCGTGAATGGCGCACTCCTGAGAGTCAGAGACAGTGACAGTAGTGAAGATTGGAGACAGTAGCAGAGACAGTGACATAGACTGAGGTTGGGAGGCAATAAGCTCAGGACTTTGAGAGCCCGATTTCCTGCAAACAATCATACATCAGTCGGTGGATGCAGACAGGTTGAACGACAATTCATGCGATTGTAACTAAGAAAGGAGAGGTCCAACGGGCATGGAGGGAGTGCATACGTGCAAGATGCAGCCTTCCCCGATAACACTGCCAGATATGTCAACGTTGTTCAGCTTGGAAGGAGGCAGAGAGCGGGACTGAGTGAATATGGGAGCCGAACGATCATAGAACCTGCACAGCACATTTTTCCCAAGTATGTACAGTAAGAGGTACAGTAAGGCGTTGAGAAAAAACTTGGAGGCTGACATGAGAGTAACAGTGCAAGGAGTGTGATCAATGTGCGATGTACATAGACAAACATCATGATGGGGAGGGGGGGACTAACAAATTGGTCTTGATTACACGTCTCATTACAAGAAGAAAAAGGGGGGGTTGGGAAGTCCTGACTGAAGAATCTTGATGCAATTCGACTCTCGTGACGCAAGGGTTCGGATTGGCGAGTCCACAGGGAGTCTTGACTAAAGAATCGTGATGCAATCTGCCTCACGTGAAGAGGGGGTTTGACTTGGCGAGTCTGAGGTTGACGTGTTAAAGGGCATCAATGGATCCAATGTCTTCCCAGTACCCATCATGAATGCACATTTGCACCTCATACACTCGAATAACAATATAAACAAAAAGCGACTTGACTCACGTGAAGGGGGGGTTTGGCTTGGTGAGTCTGAGGTTGGCGTGGTAAAACGCATCAATGGACCCAATGTCCTCCCAGTATCCATCGTATATGTACGCTTGCACCTGATTCCATTTAACACCAAGGGACAAAGGGGAAGGCGGATGAGTTAGTGGGATGGGGAGGGAGGAATGGAGGAGAGTGGTTCACGAGGGGGAAAGGCAGGGGAGGGGAGACAGGGAGGGATTGGGGGGAAGGGGGGAAGGGGAAAGACTTTACAGCCACCACAAGAATGCAGCACAAGTACAGTACAGTACAGTACAGCCACCAGCTTACCTAAGCACCGTTGGGATGACCTCCCGGCCAAAGTCATTGGCGTCCGGGAACTGCTCGAGCAGCAGGCGAGGCAGGGCCTCCCTGCTGACCATGATTATGAGTCAGCATCAAATCTAGCTCACCTTGGAGCCGTTGGCACAGGCAGCAGGGATGACCTCCCGGCCAAAGTCATTGGCGTCCGGGAATTGCTCGAGAAGTAGGCGAGGCAGGGCATCCCTGCTGATGACGTAGATCCCCATGGACGCTATGAACGGCCGCTTCGCTGCCTCCTGGGGATCCAGACCCACGTTCGTTGTGTCCACCTGTCAATGTAAGCAAATTCAGATCAATTACGATTGTGGAAACGCCAGCTTGTGGGGAGAAAAACTGGCCAATCGCGCTTTCATGAAAGGTGGTACCAAGGAAAATTGCATCCGTGGTGAAACTTTGGTTAGTGACCATTTCGTACCCAGATTTTGGTTTCCGTACCTTCATCTTGTCAAGCTCTGCTCCTTGAGGCTTTTCCGCGAACTCCATGACGCGACCGTCCTCGTCAATCTTCATGAGCCCGAATGACGTCGCACGCTCTCTGAACAGATCCAGCCAACAAGAAGCGTGAGATGAACCAAAATTCAGCCAAAACACCAACAGAATGCCGGGAATTATGCCTCGCAATATCAAATTTCCCTGAAAATTTCTCTACCTGTCAACAGGGATCGCGGCGACGGTGATATCAGCACCAGCAGCCCGGTGGCACTTGATTATTCTGCGGTAGTCACAGCGGTACAGCTGGTCTGCCGCGAGAATCAGATACTCCTGAGGGTTGTGGTCCTCCAGAAGCCATATGTACTGACGCACCGCATCCGCCGTTCCCTGTCCAAAAGTGCACATGATACAGAGAATCGGGATAATCAGAAATTTAAGGCTTCCACTCAGGGCTTCGTTACAGTGTCGAGATTAGTTGTTTCGTTTACCTAGAATCGGCTAAGGTTAACTTTGTTTATTTTTCTTTTGGTCACATCAAGTGCCAGTTGAAACCCACGGGTCTTACCTGGAACCAGTTGGGATTGTCCGGGCTCTGCTGCGCTGCGAGCACTTCCACGAAGCCCTTGGTCTGGTACCCGGTCAGGCACGGCGCATACGCTGTGAAGCAGTGGCGGTTCAGCGAGGCGGAATTGACCTGCGAAAAGCATGAATTAACCAGGAAAGCAGCGAATGATGGAGAAAAGTTTTGAGGCGCCTCAAAACTAGACGCTGTGAAGCAGTGGCGGTTCAGCGAGGCGGAATTGACATGCGAAAAGCATGAATTAACCAGGAAAGCAGCGAATGATGGAGAAAAGTTTTGAGGCGCCTCAAAACTAGACGCTGTGAAGCAGTGGCGGTTCAGCGAGGCGGAATTGACCTGCGAGAAGCATGAATTAACCAGGAAAGCAGCGAATGATGGAGAAAGGCATGAATTTGATGGTGCATCGAACGAACGTCATGATCGACGATCGCTGATACACACCAAGCAGACACCTTTTATCCAATTGAAAACTTTTCTGTGCATGCTCGTGGGGTAGCGAAGACTGTCAATTTACCTGAGTGAGAACGTAGATCCGATCTATGTCGCTATTCAAGCAGTTGCTAACGGGGATGTCGATCAGCCTGTAATTCGCGGCCAACGGCACAGCAGGCGTTGCTCGCTCCTTTGTCAACGGGTAAAGCTTTGCGCTTGCTCCCCCACCGAGAATAACCGAGAGCACGCTCTGCGTTACAGAAACAAAGTACCAAGCTTGCATGAGACGAAAAACTCAAACACGATTTACAAATCCATTCACGGAAACGAACGGCACGAAACGACAGTTTTAACCCAAGCACGCACCTTGTTGGGCTCCGGATCAAGACAGACATCGGTGAAAGCTTCCGAATCGGAGATAGCTCGGGGAGTCACCGGCCTCCTCAAAGCTTCAGATTTGCTGGTGCCGTTCTTCTGCTGGACTGACAGAGGTTGAGAAACGGCAGTGCTCCAGGAAACCTTGGCTAAACTCGGCGAAGCAGCACATCTATGCTGACAAGCGCTAGCGAAATGCTTCTTCTGCTGGCTTGCTCTCACAAGGCAGGTGCCCGTGGCATAATTCGCGGTAGCCATGTGCCTAGAAATGAGACCAGACGCAAAAGAATCTGAGAATCCTTTCGACTTCGTGAAGAAATTCCTGAGATCTTGAATGCCGGCGTGATTCACAGGAAAAAAGCACAACCGGCAGCACCTTGTAGCTCGAACCCAGCATCTCGCAGCCAAATGGAGCGTGAGGATGCGTGCATAATCAAGCCCAACGAAAGATTCTCCACAGCCATAATGCCTTGGCCCAGAGCCTTTGCGAAGGAAGTCTTCGGTGCTGCGAGATTCGCGACAGCTGACAAGGTGGGAGAAAGGCACGCGATAAAGAGTTTCGCGACGGTTTTGTTCGCAAAGAGATCTCAGGCCTTCCAGTCAAAGGGCAGGGAGATTCCGAGGTTATTGGCGCGCCTCGGTGATTTTTTTTTTTTTTTTTTTTTTTGTTGAATGTTATTACACTATAAAAGCGCATACATCCTCAGTCGTAACTGATTTTCTGGAGAGGACCTACCCTGGTACCAACATGTTAGTGCCACTACCGGGGTCACCCCTCCATGAGGCTTCTACGGGGGCTGCCTGATCGTTCTGGGATTGCGCCAGATGGAGAGAAACCCATCGCTCCACGCGCCTCGGTGATGTACAAGTCCTTGATTGGGGGACGCCAGCGTGGGGCATGGGGTGGACAATTCATGGTGACCATCCACATCACTTCTATGACGTGGCACATTCAAACAAAGCACACGCTTTGTTGGAAGTGGGTGAAAATGCTAAAACTTGTTCTCTAGCAGAAGACTACAGCCTTATGTTTGCATTTTCTCCTTCAGGAAAATACGACTCCACCAACCTCCATCAAACCACGCAACCTCTTGTGCATGTTTACCCCCATAACTCTCAAAGCAAACCTTGTGCCATGTGTTTGTATTGTAGTTGAGAAGAACATACCATTATAGTATTTCCAACTTGAGGCGTGAATGAGGTTCACTTGCAGCAAAACCCAACTCCGCGTGTGACATGCACTCAATTTCAGCATCTCTGGCTGGCAAACCTTTTGGTCTGGATGCCCCATCCCCATACCTCAGATAACTCAATGCTTTTGACACCCAAACGACCCAAGCTCTGCATGCATTCCTCCACTGCAAATAGTTTGAATCAACAAGCTCTCCATGGCTGCCTCAAGATGATACCATCTAAACTAGCTCATCTACCTCCATAATCATATCACATCTCATACAGCATGTTTCAGGTAACAGCCTCAAGAGGATGGGATGGAGAAATGATGTCAGGCCATTCAGCTTGATCGTTGATGGTCCAACAGGAGAGCGATCACAAGAGGAAAGACTGTTCGTAGGATGACTGATGCAGGAACTAGGGGCTTGGATGTACAAAAGAGAGGGAAGACCCCCTCGTTTTGTGGCTAGCCCATGGCATACTTGGCTGTCCAGGTACGTGCGGTTGCTTCATACTTTTGCCTGTCTGTCTTATACATGTGCGCGATTTCAGGAACCAGAGGATCATCTGGGTTCGGATCCGTCAACATGGAGCAAATCGACAAAAGAACCTGCGAAGGACAAAAGCACAAATATTAGAAGAGAACACCAAATCGTGACAACATCGAACAAAAGCCTCATTTAACTACCTTAGAAATGGTCAAGGCCGGACTCCACTGCTCCTTCAGAATGTCCAAGCAAATGCTCCCGTTGCTGTTGATGTTGGGATGAAACACCTTCGTCCTGAAGGCGACCTGCAATATTGGAGCGTAATGGAGCGACAGAAGGTAATGTTGAGACTGAAGAATTCCCAGACAACAAGCCCAGATGACCATGATTGACGACCGGGACTGCCGAAAGTGACTTAAGAGGGTAACCACGAAGAACCATATGGTAACTAATCGGGAGACTATACAGATCAAACGTCGCGATTCAATACACACGGATTTAGGGTACCTGCGAAGAACCATATGGTAACTAAACGGCAAACAATACAGATCAGACGTCGCGATTCAATACACGCGGATTTCAGATCGTACCTTGGGAGGCTTGAAAGGGTAGTCGGGAGGAAAGTGTATGGTAACCAGGAAGACGCCACCGGCGTAAGGACTATCTGGAGGACCCATGATTGTCGCTTGCCAATGAAACATGTCTTCGGCAACTGGACCTGCACTGCATGATGTAGGAGGGTCTCTCTGAAGATCTTTCAGCTCCTTAAGAATCCTTTTCGAGGCCATCGCGGGCCCTCCCCCAGCCGAAACTAATATAAAATCCGGCAATAAGGCGACGACGAAGAATCTGCCAAAAAAAATATGACGAGAACAGTTCAAGCCTGCAGGCCGAAGCACACGAGTTCAGAGATCCTAGGGATACCAGATGCTTAGGCTGCAGGGGGAGAGCGTTGGAGGGAAAGCTAGAAAGGATGGGAAGGATGAGAGGGAACTGATTGAAGCTTTGACTGTAGTCGCAGAACCTGCTGCTATCGCCAGCGGCGGATCTGACACGCACCGAGGACAGTACACGCCTCATACGACTGGCTGCCTCTTGCGACTTCTGGGTTCGGTGATGACCACGGGAAACTGCATCGCAGGGCTACGCGGAGGGGTTCTGCGAACTGCTTCGGCAACACTGGGACCTTCATCCACACAAATCCAGACTGATCCTAAACTGTACACCTCGTCCATGGAATAACGATCTGTATTTTTAGCATTAAATTATTATTCAGCCAGCACACATAGATTATACCATTGGGATGTGCGCTTGGTCGTGTGGGAACATACTGGTGACCTAAGGATAATAACATATAAATACCACTGTTCGCAAATTCTCATTTTCTACGTGGAAACATATTATATTTAGGATACTACGTGTCACAAAACAACATTCCTTGTGAACACCGTACAGACACAGTAGCCACATTACTACCGAACCACATCCGTCTTTCTGACGTCCCAAGAGCAAGTTTCTCGCAACCGTGCTGCCACATCCTTGAGAACCTTTTTCCTATGCATCCTAAACCGAACGGCCGTAATCTCTCCTCCACCACTGGCAGCACCACCTCACACCAACCCTCGACCTTCATCCCCGCACGCCCTTCCGACTCGCATGCTCGAAGCTCCTCCAGCACCGCCTCATCTTCTTCCAAGCTCGTCGGGAACTGCTTCAATCTAGCCTCGACAAAGAGACGGACGGTTTCAGCAGCAGCTTTTAATGCAGGTGTGAAGGAAGAGGCGATTGGGAGGAGGTGGTGACAGGAGGAGGTGGAGAGGGCCCAGCCGTAATGAATGGCAGCACTGGCCAGAGATGTGTAGTCTGGGGAGGCTGCACAGGGGGGGAAGAGCAGGGAGAGACAGCGGGGTTGGGGACACCTCAGAACACACCACTGACCAGGGATGTGTAGTCTGGGGGACAGGGACAGAGGAGACTGGACGTGAGGAGAGAGTGGGGGGAAACGGCAGGGGGGAGATGGTGAGGTGGGTGGGAGCAGACTAGGGGCGTTAGAGATGTATGAATTCTGGCAGAGCAGGATGAGGTGGAAAATAAGAACAGATAGATGTGAGCGAGAATTGGTTGTTGTGCAGGCTATATGACACACCCTGATAGCGCATGTCTCAGCAAATCACCTTGTGACACGTGGACGGCGTGCCAGCTGGCAGCGAGGGCGGCGAGGAGATTCGGCTCTACTATGCCGCCCGCCCACACAGAAACTCCCACGCCTTCGTCCTCCTCCTTTACAAGCACCTCCTTTACAATATTTGTGCTTGCGCCACTGTGTCCCCGTTCCGCCTTATTCTCCCTCGTTTCCACCTCCCTCGTTTCCTGTGCACTCCTCTGCTCTATCCGCTGTCGCAGCTGCAGCTGTGGAAGGCTATTCCCTTCAGCATACGTCCCTCCAGCCTCTCGAGCCTTCACCACTTCACCCACCGCTGCTGCTGCCGCATGCCACATCACACGCACCACACCCCCCTTTCCTCCCGTGCCCCTTCTTCCTTCCACACCCTCATCTCCTGCCATGCCCCCCTTTCCTCCCATGTCTGTTTCCTCGCTTCCTGGAAGCAGCAAAGAGACTCCAATGCCCCAAACACGCAGCAAGCCTGCCCTCAGATCCACCTCCCCCGGACGAACCTCCCCGCCGCTCCCTCCCCCCACCCCTCTCCCTGCACCCTGCCCCTCCTGGTGGTACACCACCAAGGCTACGGTTCGGATGCCTCGGGAGAGGTTCGGGAAGAGCCGGACGTGGTCATAGGGATTGTCGTCGAGCACAAAGCCGTATCCCAGCAGCAGGTGGTGGTTGGGCTTGTACCCGTACACTGTGAAGAGCTCTGCACCACGCTGAACCTCTTCCCTGGCGTAGAATTCAAAACTGTTCTGCTGCACCTGGTGGGGTGATAGGGGGGTGGATGGCATGACGGGATGGCATAAAGTGTTTGCCTTATCAAAACGCCCACCTTGAACTAATGATACTCACTACAAAATGAACTACTACACTATGCGATTATAAGGCACGTATGTTGCTTCATATGCTTTGTTGTTGTAAAGAAATAACCTAAGATGTTTACATATGCAGATAATACATTTGCATACATATACATGTATGTTTATACTTTGTATATACAGGTATACACAATATGATTATAAAACCTTGCACAATGTTATGTAATATAGGTATAGCAAAAGTTCATAGTGCAATGATGTAGAGTGACACACCTTGTACTGTGTGTTGTGCGGGTGGTGGTGGTTGATGAGCACAAAAATGGGAATATGATGTGTATAGACAAGGCTACAATGAATAAGGACATGGGAAGGTCAGCACACACACCTTGTACTGGGCGTTGTGGGGGTGGTGATGCTCAATCAGTTCAGCAACGGGCACCAGAGCCATGGGCTCGCCCACAAACCGTGTGGGAGGCGCCTCAAACATAAGCTTGTAGAATGGCACAGCACACACACCTTGTACTGTGCGTTGTGGGGGTGGTGATGATCAATCAGCTCAGCAATGGGCACCAGAGCCATGGGCTCGCCCACAAACCGCCGCCTGTCAGACGCAGGCAGCGCTGACTTTTGAGTTGGCTCAGAAGTCTGGCCTAGAACAGCTCTAGTGACGCACCTTGTACTGTGCGTTGTGGGGGTGGTGGTGGTCGATCAGCTCAGCAATGGGCACCAGAGCCATGGGCTCGCCCACAAACCACCGCCTCTCAGACGCAGGCAGTGCCAGCAGCTGCTCTAGCATTGCCCCCCTCCCCCTCTCCTGCTCCCTCTCTTCCTCTTGGGGAAAGCGTGTGGTGTCAGTGTGAGACTCGGCGGAGGTTCGGCGGGCAGGTGCGGGAGTGGAGAAGGCTCGGGAGTTCATGATGGCAAGAGCCCAGAGGAATTGGTGGAGCGAGGCGAAGGCGATGGCTGGTGGGTGGCATAGTTTGTACTGTTGCTCGTAGTACTCGCGGACCATGCGGATCTGAAAGGGTGGGACACGATTGAGGCATGACGGAATTAAACAAAAATCTGCTTCTGCTGGGATGGCGGGTGGCAGACTAAGCTGGAGCTTGTACTATTGCTCGTAGTACTGACGGACCATGCGGATCTGAAAGGGCGAGGGCGGCGGGAACGGGTATCGATGGGATAGGAGAGTGGTTGGGGTGGGAAGAGGTAAGGGAGGGGGAGGGGGAGAAGGAAGAGGGAGAAAAAGAAAAACGAAGCAGCTTCCCAGGAAGACAAGAAGTTGGAAACACACTTGGTTCTTGAGAGCTCTCAAAACCGGTTGGCAAAATCAACAATTGCTAGTGGGAAGAAGATTGAAGAAAGAATGGAAGATTAGAATGATAACTTGCGAGCCGGGCGGAGGGGAAGGGTGGGTTAGGGGGGAGGGGTGTTGTTCCATTTTCTCTCACATACTCGCTCCACAAACGAGGGTGACTGTAGCTCGTCCAGCGTGGCAGCATCAAACAAGAATGGCAGAGGCACGTAGGCCGGCAGGATCTGCAGGTACGGCCACCACTCCGAGCCTCGCCCCCGCGCCTGCTCCCGAAGCAGCCACGCAGCTCCGGCGGCGAGCGTCCACACAGGGTTGGCGTAGGGTGCTGCTTCTTCAGCCATGGTGTGGGTGGACACCCAGAGAGAGCGAGGGATGGAGAGCAGCAGCTGGCCTTTCTTCTTTGACTGCCCTGCCACCACTGTCAGCTGCTTCCTAGAGAGAGGTAATGGGTTGAGAGTAGGGAGAGGGGGAGAGAGAGGGGGAGGAAGGGGGGAGGGCAGGACAAGTAAGTTACATGAGTTGACTCAAAGGCTCCTCGATAGAAGGAGAGGGTGCTGCTTCTTCGGCCATGGTGTGGGTGGATACCCAGAGGGAACAAGGGATGGAGAGCAGCAGCTGCTCTCTCTTCTTCTGCCATGGTGTGGGTGGACACTCTGAGGGAACAAGGGATGGAGAGCAGCAGCTGCCCTCTCTTCTTCTGCCATGGTGTGGGTGGACACTCAGAGGGAACAAGGGATGGAGAGCAGCAGCTGCCCTCTCTTCTTCTGCCATGGTGTGGGTGGACACTCAGAGGGAACGAGGGATGGAGAGCAGCAGCTGCCCTCTCTTCTTCGGCCATGGTGTGGGCGGACACTCAGAGGGAACGAGGGATGGAGAGCAGCAGCTGCCCTCTCTTCTTCGGCCATGGTGTGGGTGGACACTCCGAGGGAACGAGGGATGGAGAGCAGCAGCTGCCCTCTCTTCTTCGGCCATGGTGTGGGTGGACACTCAGAGGGAACAAGGGATGGAGAGCAGCAGCTGCCCTCTCTTCTTCTGCCATGGTGTGGGTGGACACTCAGAGGGAACGAGGGATGGAGAGCAGCAGCTGGCCTTTCTTCTTTGACTGCCCTGCCACCACTGTCAGATGCTTCCTAGAGAGAGGTAATGGGTTGAGAGTAGGGAGAGGGGGAGAGAGAGGGGGAGGAAGGGGGGAGGGCAGGACAAGTAAGTTATATGAGTTGACTCAAAGGCTCCTCGATAGAAGGAGAGGGTGCTGCTTCTTCGGCCATGGTGTGGGTGGATACCCAGAGGGAACAAGGGATGGAGAGCAGCAGCTGCCCTCTCTTCTTCGGCCATGGTGTGGGTGGACACTCAGAGGGAACAAGGGATGGAGAGCAGCAGCTGCCCTCTCTTCTTCTGCCAAGGTGTGGGTGGACACTCAGAGGGAACAAGGGATGGAGAGCAGCAGCTGCCCTCTCTTATTCTGCCATGGTGTGGGTGGACACTCAGAGGGAACAAGGGATGGAGAGCAGCAGCTGCCCTCTCTTCTTCTGCCATGGTGTGGGTGGACACTCAGAGGGAACGAGGGATGGAGAGTAGCAGCTGCCCTATCTTCTTCGGCCATGGTGTGGGCGGACACTCAGAGGGAACGAGGGATGGAGAGCAGCAGCTGCCCTCTCTTCTTCGGCCATGGTGTGGGTGGACACTCAGAGGGAACGAGGGATGGAGAGCAGCAGCTGCCCTCTCTTCTTCGGCCATGGTGTGGGTGGACACTCAGAGGGAACAAGGGATGGAGAGCAGCAGCTGCCCTCTCTTCTTCTGCCATGGTGTGGGTGGACACTCAGAGGGAACAAGGGATGGAGAGCAGCAGCTGCCCTCTCTTCTTCTGCCATGGTGTGGGCGGACACTCAGAGGGAACGAGGGATGGAGAGAAGCAGCTGCCCTCTCTTCTTCTGCCATGGTGTGGGTGGACACTCAGAGGGAACAAGGGATGGAGAGCAGCAGCTGCCCTCTCTTCTTCTGCCATGGTGTGGGTGGACACTCAGAGGGAACAAGGGATGGAGAGCAGCAGCTGCCCTCTCTTCTTCGGCCATGGTGTGGGTGGACACTCAGAGGGAACGAGGGATGGAGAGCAGCAGCTGCCCTCTCTTCTTCGGCCATGGTGTGGGTGGACACTCAGAGGGAACAAGGGATGGAGAGCAGCAGCTGCCCTCTCTTCTTCGGCCATGGTGTGGGTGGACACTCAGAGGGAACGAGGGATGGAGAGCAGCAGCTGCCCTCTCTTCTTCTGCCATGGTGTGGGTGGACACTCAGAGGGAACAAGGGATGGAGAGCAGCAGCTGCCCTCTCTTCTTCGGCCATGGTGTGGGTGGACACTCAGAGGGAACGAGGGATGGAGAGCAGCAGCTGCCCTCTCTTCTTCGGCCATGGTGTGGGTGGACACTCAGAGGGAACAAGGGATGGAGAGCAGCAGCTGCCCTCTCTTCTTCGGCCATGGTGTGGGTGGACACTCAGAGGGAACGAGGGATGGAGAGCAGCAGCTGCCCTCTCTTCTTCTGCCATGGTGTGGGTGGACACTCAGAGGGAACAAGGGTTGGAGAGCAGCAGCTGCCCTCTCTTCTTCTGCCATGGTGTGGGTGGACACTCAGAGGGAACAAGGGATGGAGAGCAGCAGCTGCCCTCTCTTCTTCGGCCATGGTGTGGGTGGACACTCAGAGGGAACGAGGGATGGAGAGCAGCAGCTGCCCTCTCTTCTTCGGCCATGGTGTGGGTGGACACTCAGAGGGAACAAGGGATGGAGAGCAGCAGCTGCCCTCTCTTCTTCTGCCATGGTGTGGGTGGACACTCAGAGGGAACGAGGGATGGAGAGCAGCAGCTGCCCTCTCTTCTTCGGCCATGGTATGGGTGGACACTCAGAGGGAACAAGGGATGGAGAGCAGCAGCTGCCCTCTCTTCTTCTGCCATGGTGTGGGCGGACACTCAGAGGGAACGAGGGATGGAGAGCAGCAGCTGCCCTCTCTTCTTCTGCCATGGTGTGGGTGGACACTCAGAGGGAACAAGGGATGGAGAGCAGCAGCTGCCCTCTCTTCTTCTGCCATGGTGTGGGTGGACACTCAGAGGGAACAAGGGATGGAGAGCAGCAGCTGCCCTCTCTTCTTCTGCCATGGTGTGGGTGGACACTCAGAGGGAACGAGGGATGGAGAGCAGCAGCTGCCCTCTCTTCTTCGGCCATGGTGTGGGCGGACACTCAGAGGGAACGAGGGATGGAGAGCAGCAGCTGCCCTCTCTTCTTCGGCCATGGTGTGGGCGGACACTCAGAGGGAACGAGGGATGGAGAGCAGCAGCTGCCCTCTCTTCTTCGGCCATGGTGTGGGTGGACACTCAGAGGGAACAAGGGATGGAGAGCAGCAGCTGCCCTCTCTTCTTCTGCCATGGTGTGGGTGGACACTCAGAGGGAACGAGGGATGGAGAGCAGCAGCTGGCCTTTCTTCTTTGACTGCCCTGCCACCACTGTCAGCTGCTTCCTAGAGAGAGGTAATGGGTTGAGAGTAGGGAGAGGGGGAGAGAGAGGGGGAGGAAGGGGGGAGGGCAGGACAAGTAAGTTATATGAGTTGACTCAAAGGCTCCTCGATAGAAGGAGAGGGTGCTGCTTCTTCGGCCATGGTGTGGGTGGATACCCAGAGGGAACAAGGGATGGAGAGCAGCAGCTGCCCTCTCTTCTTCGGCCATGGTGTGGGTGGACACTCAGAGGGAACAAGGGATGGAGAGCAGCAGCTGCCCTCTCTTCTTCTGCCATGGTGTGGGTGGACACTCAGAGGGAACAAGGGATGGAGAGCAGCAGCGGCCCTCTCTTCTTCTGCCATGGTGTGGGTGGACACTCAGAGGGAACAAGGGATGGAGAGCAGCAGCTGCCCTCTCTTCTTCTGCCATGGTGTGGGTGGACACTCAGAGGGAACGAGGGATGGAGAGCAGCAGCTGCCCTCTCTTCTTCGGCCATGGTGTGGGCGGACACTCAGAGGGAACGAGGGATGGAGAGCACCAGCTGCCCTCTCTTCTTCGGCCATGGTGTGGGTGGACACTCAGAGGGAACGAGGGATGGAGAGAAGCAGCTGCCCTCTCTTCTTCGGCCATGGTGTGGGTGGACACTCAGAGGGAACAAGGGATGGAGAGCAGCAGCTGCCCTCTCTTCTTCTGCCATGGTGTGGGTGGACACTCAGAGGGAACAAGGGATGGAGAGCAGCAGGTGCCCTCTCTTCTTCTGCCATGGTGTGGGCGGACACTCAGAGGGAACGAGGGATGGAGAGCAGCAGCTGCCCTCTCTTCTTCTGCCATGGTGTGGGTGGACACTCAGAGGGAACAAGGGATGGAGAGCAGCAGCTGCCCTCTCTTCTTCTGCCATGGTGTGGGTGGACACTCAGAGGGAACAAGGGATGGAGAGCAGCAGCTGCCCTCTCTTCTTCGGCCATGGTGTGGGTGGACACTCAGAGGGAACAAGGGATGGAGAGCAGCAGCTGCCCTCTCTTCTTCTGCCATGGTGTGGGTGGATACCCAGAGGGAACAAGGGATGGAGAGCAGCAGCTGCCCTCTCTTCTTCTGCCATGGTGTGGGTGGACACTCAGAGGGAACAAGGGATGGAGAGCAGCAGCTGCCCTCTCTTCTTCGGCCATGGTGTGGGTGGACACTCAGAGGGAACGAGGGATGGAGAGCAACAGCTGCCCTCTCTTCTTCGGCCATGGTGTGGGTGGACACTCAGAGGGAACAAGGGATGGAGAGCAGCAGCTGCCCTCTCTTCTTCTGCCATGGTGTGGGTGGACACTCAGAGGGAACGAGGGATGGAGAGCAGCAGCTGGCCTTTCTTCTTTGACTGCCCTGCCACCACTGTCAGCTGCTTCCTAGAGAGAGGTAATGGGTTGAGAGTAGGGAGAGGGGGAGAGAGAGGGGGAGGAAGGGGGGAGGGCAGGACAAGTAAGTTATATGAGTTGACTCAAAGGCTCCTCGATAGAAGGAGAGGGTGCTGCTTCTTCGGCCATGGTGTGGGTGGATACCCAGAGGGAACAAGGGATGGAGAGCAGCAGCTGCCCTCTCTTCTTCGGCCATGGTGTGGGTGGACACTCAGAGGGAACAAGGGATGGAGAGCAGCAGCTGCCCTCTCTTCTTCTGCCATGGTGTGGGTGGACACTCAGAGGGAACAAGGGATGGAGAGCAGCAGCGGCCCTCTCTTCTTCTGCCATGGTGTGGGTGGACACTCAGAGGGAACAAGGGATGGAGAGCAGCAGCTGCCCTCTCTTCTTCTGCCATGGTGTGGGTGGACACTCAGAGGGAACGAGGGATGGAGAGCAGCAGCTGCCCTCTCTTCTTCGGCCATGGTGTGGGCGGACACTCAGAGGGAACGAGGGATGGAGAGCAGCAGCTGCCCTCTCTTCTTCGGCCATGGTGTGGGTGGACACTCAGAG